TCCTCTACTGGATTCTAGGCTTCTGGTGGGCAGATTATGTTTTATTAACATCTGTATGTCCAGCCCCAGGACAGTACTTGGCATACAGTGGCAGCTCAGCAAATGTTTGTTGAATGAAATATGCAGCCAAGCACTTTAGTATGAAATATATACCAGGCTTCAAACCGTTTTTAAAAAATACCCCAGTTTTATAATCTCACTAGTCCAGTCAGTATGAATCATAGAACCAAGGAAATCAATAAAATCAACTTCTTATCATAGGCCTGCTGTCAATTGTGATTCCCCATAGGATCAGGACAGGGCAACCTCCCCAGTGCAAGCTAGGCAAATCCTCAAGAGGCCACATCACTGGACAGAGTTTCTAAAGGCTCATGGTACTGCTTTTCTTTTTGTTTCTGGGAACAGTTTAAATAGTGACCCTTGTTGGTTCCCAGGCACACGCTTGATTACTACGGCAGTGGAGTGCTATCCTGCTCCTATCCAAAGGATGGGGTAGGGAGAGTGTCAGCCCTCAGGCTATGGAGGGGACATGGGTTTGAAATGTACCACTCTGCCTCAGCTCAACCCTGCTCATGGAGATCTCCCATCTATATGACAGTCCTCCTTTCCCCTACAGTAATCCTGTGAGGGAATAGCCTATGGGTTTGCCCCAGCCTACTCTTTACTCCGGGAGACAGAAGGCTAAGCTCCTTTATCGTTTTGTCCTTGCTAGATCTGTGTAGTGCTAGAATAGGCACAGATGCAGTTTTCCATAGCTGGTTAGCAAGTTATTTATGGTCATAGGCCACTGGCAGGAACTTGGTCAGTTTGCCAAAATCTCAAATCATTTCACTGGGACAGGGATGACTTGTACAAGTCAAACCGAAATATAGTGTAAATTTTTTATAATTGACATGTTCCCATAATTTGCACCTTTTCAGGTTTCATTAAAATTCCTGTGTTCTTATCATTTTCTGAGTTCTGATTAAATTTCCAGTAATGTTCTCTTTCTCAGAAATGCTTAGTGTATCTGTTGACCTTTTACTATGGACCTATCTATGGAAGGCAGAAGTACCTCCTTCTAAAACAAACAAGTAAAAATTGCTTAGGATCTTTCTTGAGGGGCTTAGACCCATTATAGTAAGCCCTTTGAAGTTCCTATAGAAATTGTTATTAAATGCTTCGTGGGCTGAAGTCTAATGGAAGAAGTATGGTAATCAGTACGATAATCTGCTTCTTGGAAAGCTCTGATTGCTTGGAGATAAGGTAGAGTCTGTCATGATTCTTACTAAGGCCCAGCAATCTTAAAAATTGTTGCTGGTGGTGCTGAAGTATAATAAACATTATACTAGAGTGTACTAATTTCCTGCTACTGGCAACATTTCCTCCTGATCTCTAGAAAAGACTAACAGAATTGTGTATGTCGGTGGAACCATGCCCAATCAGGTGATCTTTTCTGGAAACTCGCATGGTTCTCATTAATCAGTTGCATCACCTGTAATATGATAATGAAGGAGGACCAGAAGAATATGAACGTATATGTTATTCTAGGAAAAAACATCTTAAAGTCAGGAACTCTTGAGACCCAGGCTTTGATCTATGGCTTGGCTTTCATTGATGAAGGATAATATCTGATAGTCTTATACTGCTTTTAGTATTAAGAAGAGGTAAGACATCACAGGTCAGAGATAGGCACTGTTGGTTTCTATTACTATAAACTACATCCCTGTTTTGTAAGTTCCTAAAATGTCATTTTCTCTGTGTTCTAGGGAGTATTACTTCAAGTGTGGTCTGTGGATTGACAGCACAGTATCAGCTGAGAGCTTGTTAGAAAAGCAAATTCTCCAGTCCCCATCCCAGACCTACAGACTCTGCATCTCTGGGGTGGGGCTCCAGGATTCTCTTTTAGCATGCTCGCCAAGTGATTCTTAATGCACGTTAAAGTTCGGGAAGCAGTGTTTTAGGGCATCGTATCCTAAAGTGTGTTTTCTTAGTTTTTTAGTAAGTGCCACACCAAAAATGCTTCCAGTCATGGTCAAATGAATTTAGAAAATGCTGGGTTAAACAAAGTTAAGCTTTTTAGTTTTTATTTTTTCATGGGGGGTATCAGATTTTGTAGACCTTCTAATATGTTACTCTACTGCTCAAAATTCTCTATTGGACTCCCAACACACTTAAAGTAGAATCCAAAGTCCTTATCACAACCTATGAGGCCCTGCATGATCTGGCTGTTGACTCTCTGATCTCATTTCCTATCTTTGTTGCTCTTGCTTACACTTCACCTACACTGATTTTTTTTAGCCAGGCACACTCTTGCTTTAAAGCCTTTGCACTTGTCATTCCCACTGCAGGGAAATCTCAGGTATCTGCTTACATGTTTTTTCTTTAGAGAGACATTCCCAGGTCATCCTATACAAAATTGTAGCTCCTGTCACTTCACTCCAGTACCTTACCCTAATTTATTGTTCATCACAGCGTTCACTACTGTCTGACATTTACAGTATTGTTTATTGATTGGTTTGCTGTTTGTCTCCCTCACGAGAACGTAAGCTTCATGGATCTGTTCACTGCAGATCCTTTAGTACTTGGACTAGTGCTCAACACATAGTGTAGGTTACTTAATAAATATTTATTGAATTAATGAACAAATGAGTGGAGAGAGGAAATTGTAGAATAGACAGTAACAATAGTAGGACCAAGTACGGCTGCCCAGGAAAAGTGTGTTAGCCTCCCAGAAAGCAGGATAGAGAGGACACTTGCAGGGCTTGGTCCTCCAGGGTCTTAGGAGTCATACGTTATTATGAATGATCCCAAATCTTTGATTGTTACCATGAAGACCACTGAGACATGGGAAAATGAACTTCATGTATTTTTGTCTGTAATCATGGAACAGTAATGACCATTTCATGCAGAATGGACTCCCGGTTAGCTCTCCAATGAAGTACTTTCCTTAGTTTTTTTCCCTATCAGTTATCTATCCCTGGAAAATCATTCACTTCCATGGCTTCAGCTGTTATTAATAGACAATGGCCAAATTTCTGTGTTTACTACCCAACCTTCTCTCCTGTATTTCTACTGTCATATGGACAGTCTCCTTGGATGTTGAATTTGCACCTTCAGATTCAAGACAGAGCTAAAAGCATCATTTTCTTCCCTAAGCCATATTCCTCTCTGATTTTCTTACTTTTGGTAATGGCAGCAACATCCTCACAGTCTTTGAGGCTGAAAACCATGGGAGTACTGTAGAAGTCTCTAGACTTCAACTTTTCTCATTCAAACAGTTGCTCAATCTTGTATGTTACTCCCAATGTTTCTTATATCTGTATTTGTTTCCTTTTTGGGGGTTTTGTTTCTGTCCTAATACTGGACTATTATAAACACCCCTGAACTATCCCCCCCCAACCGTGCTCTCAATCCATCTTAAACAGATTCCTCAGCCTGATTCTTAAGATACTGCCCAGTATGGCCACGACTTGTTCAGACCTCTTTATGTCCACTGTTTCCTCACATCATTTCTCTGATCTAGTCAAACTGGACCATTTATCCTTTTTCCAACTCTGAGATCTTTTGTTCCATGTCTTCACTCATTCTGCTCCCACTGACAAGAAAGCTTTTCTTATTGTCCATGTTTATTAGTATCCTGTCCATTCTTTAACACCGACATCAAATACCCTTTCCTCCAAGGTGGCTTTCTGATACCTTCTTTGAGAAAAATGTGTTTTCTTTTTTCGATATCACTTATGATTTTGGCACATCCTACCTCATTTAATAATAATTTGTATCCTTATTTTACTGCTACCACTGTACTGAAGGCCCCTTGCAAGCAGGGCCTTTGCCTTACTCATCTCTGAATGTCCACAGTAGGTATCTAATATATATTTATTGACTTGGAATGAAATACCATGACCCAAACTATATTTTGTAATAGCAATGCAGTCATATCATGGACTAATAATGTTCTTTGGATGGGGAACTCATTGGATGGGGATATTCACATCCAGGCCTCTTGGGAGTGGTATGCCAATGTTATTAATCATTTGACACAGAAAAGGTGCAGAAAGGTTAAGTGATTGTCACTTTCACACAATAGAGGACCCAGGACTCTCAAGTCCTAGTCTGTAAGTCTGATTCAGGCTTCTCTTAATAACTCTTCCTCCTCTGGAAAATAATAATTGCTATTCTTTAGTTTTTTCAGCATCTGAACTGCTTGGAGCAAGGGAAACTGAAAGGCTTAATCTATTTATCCTCAAGGGATAAATTCAGATTCAGATGCCCAGGTCTCAAAATGGCAGTTGCCTTGTCTGCTTCTAAATCTGGTGTCTGGGGAGCAATCCTAAGAGAGTCTGCCTCCATTCCACCCATCCAGCACTCACCCTCCCACAAATCTTACAATTCATTTGAACTGATGGAACTCCTGCTAATTGCCTCTTATTGGCCTGTTATAAGATGAAGCATGGGGAGGAGACAAAGCCTCCCTATTCACATTCTCAGTGGGCAGCAGGGGTCTCTGCAAAAATAGAGAAACTGGGGCCTAGGCTATTCAGTTTTGAAAGTCAGGACAAGATCTTCCACCATTCAGAATCCCACATTATAATCCCACATTATAATCACAATATTGCATCCTGGGAGACCCTGTCAGTTTTCTCAAATGGTCTGCTAGAAATTTAGCCTGTTTAATATTACAGTCTATTTAATAAATCAATGCTACTCATTGACTTTTTTTCCCTCCAGAGTGATACACACTTTACATTTTAATTTCACTATTTTTTTTTCCCATTTGGAGGTGAGAGAGTGAGAGAGAGAGAGAGAAGGGGCAGTGCTTTTCATGAAAACATCAGTTCTTGTATTCATGTTTTAAGAAAGCAAAGGCAAGGCAAGAACTGCAGCCTGATAACTGAACACTCTGTTTAGAATTCCCTCCTCTCCATTGGACCTTAGCTAGGTTTCAATAATTATTGCTCAGGCACATAGTCTTGGAGCTTTGCTTTCTCTCAGACTTGTACACAGTTCTAGGAAGGGTTGTTGCCAAAGCCATCATGTGATTTATTGACCCTCCACTGGGACAAGGGGGAACAGATATAACTTTGTGATTTTATTATAAGGAGGCTGGGTTAATATTTCTAGGTGAAACAAGCTACTATACCAAGTTCAAACATCTGAAGAGGGAGGTTAAGAAACCCTGAGTGTGGGGTGTAAGGATTATTCTGTCCTGGGGCTGTACAGACGTCGTCTGAGGCAGGGAGCAGGAGAAGAAAGGACACATTGTGACCCATTTCCAACACCTCCTGTGTGTAGAGGCGGAAGTTCCTTGCCTGCAGAGGGACACGCGCGGAGGAAAAATAGGAGAGTTACAACATGGCACTTACATAAACAACACCAAACTGGCATAAAACATCTAACAAAATTACGCGACTTCAAGCTTGGAATTTTTATACAACATAAATATTAGGGTTCAGCCCATTTAATAATGCTATATAAAATCAAGATTTAAGGCAGTAATGTTCCATATAAACTCTGAAAACAACATTTATGCTTCTTATAAAAGCAGAAAATGATTGCATTCTGTGGGTTTTTCAAAATGATGAATATAATTACATGAAGCAACAAAAATGGATTGAATTAAAAATCTACTAGTTTCAATTTAAGTTGGTTAAGGGGGAAAAATGTAGTTTCTGGCCAAGGACTGAAAAAATTTTACAAGTATCCAAAAAAAAAAAAAAAATGTTGTATGCACTCTTAGGCAGTTAGGCAGCCCTCTCCCAACATGTGTATGTAGCCCAAGAGTCACCAATGAAATATGAGCTGCTTCAAACCTGCTAAGCTCAAGAAACCCTTTAATAGTATCTACTGTCACAAGTAGAGCTGGTGTGTTTTTTTCTCCTCCTGAGTACATGGCCACCCCTGGAATAATCCAGTTGCTCCCCTGGCGCCTTTATGGCATCTTGTACAATTTATTCTTCATCAGTGTTGGCTGTTTTGGACTAACCTTGCAGTACTGACTTATAATCCAAGCAGTACCCCAATGGAAGAACACTCTTGGAGTCTCTAATCTATGTCCCTGTGTCCATGGGTCATGTGCCAATTCTGGGTGATGGTCTTCCTGTTTTATAGGCTAAACTTGGTTGATTTTGTGTGTGTGTGTGCCCGCATGCATATGTGTGTACTGGGTATGGGGAGATGGTGAACTAGGCCAAAAAGAAAAAAAAAAAGAATTCAGCCTAATGCTACATCATGTTAACTTACTAGACAGAGCCTAATAAACTTTTACTATTCTCTTCTGTGCCAACAGTTTTTCCTGAAGTTGCTTATTAGTAGAGGTTAGATTTGCACGTTTTGATTTAGATAAGACAATTTTGACAGTAAATTCTCTATTTGTGAAAAGATAGCATGGCATAATCTTGTCATTGCTATAGGTTATACTACCACTAGTCTGCTGTTCTTAGATAAAACATTTGTATATCTAAGTGTGTACTTATTATTTATTCTCCTTGACTTGTGCTATCCTGAAGTTGAGACTTGGTGTCTTTTTGAGGTGGGCTGGCCAGTGATTTTTCCTTGCTTGGCCAGACCACAGTAAAGCCGGGTCCAGGAGCTGCAGAAGAGGTCAATATGCAGGAGATAGAGAAAAGGGGCAGAAGTGCAGTCTGTGTCCGCTTGAAGGCGTCAGATCTAAGTGTGCAGGATGTGCAAAGTGGTATTTAAATCAGTGAAAACTCATATATCTATTTTTTTTTTACCTCTTAAGTTTTATACACAATGCAGTTTCCATTAGCCATAAAAAGAAGATAAAAATGGTAAAGACTAGTACCTGGTGTAGAGGTATATTGATCTGCTTAAGGAGAGCTTTCACTGCCATCTGGAGCTCGTAGAAGAACAACTGTATGGGGCAGTCAGAAGTATGATCCACACTTTCCATAGATTCAGAGCCAGAAAGCTTTTGGACCCATTCCCACTCCTCTCTGTATGTTGAGTCAAGTTAAAATTAGAAATATAACAAAAGTTCAGAACACAGCTCAGAACATTTTTAGTGTATATGTCCAGAGCCTGGATAACCAATTTTTGGTGGTTAAAACTCAATACAATTCATGAAATTTGAACTTTTTGCCACCCAAATGGAGTTTAAAATGAGCTTTTGCTAATTTAAACTTAGTTCACCTACCAAACCACATATACCTCAGAACAGCAGGTCTAATTTGTATCAGTTAGTTTCTGAGATTGGAGCTTTGAAATATTTGGTAATAATTTCCTGACTATCTTCATTTTTCTTCCCTGAAGATCCTCTGTAAATTCTAAGACCCTACATTTTACCACAGGGGTATCTGCTGGTTAATTCAGCAGTTGGGTAACCACAGGACTCTGGTCCAACTCAGGCAACAAACCACATGGCACATTTCAACCCTGGCCTTTTGTAATCATGGGGACTATTTTGGCTTCTTACCCCTTCCAAGAGCTTGAGGAGAATCACGAACAGGAACACCAGACAATTCCAATAAAAGGAACCAGGGGACACACATCACTGCTTCTGTCCTCCTTTCAAACCAGTCATCTGTGTCTTTATTCTGCGTGCTTTGTAATCCTTTCTAATGAACTTTTCCAAATGTCATGCAGAAGGGAGGGGAAAAGAATGATGGTGGGAGAAAACACATCTGGTTTGTCCCCCAAAGGCCGCTTTTCAAAAGGAGCTTGAAGAGATCAAGGTAAATGCCTCCTGGGAACATTGTTTCCACAGGTATGCTAGCACAAGTCTCTAAACACATTCATTTGGCCCAGTTTTTCCTTTCTCTAACTCCGCAGGGAGCAGCAATATGCTCTCAGGAGCATGCTAGAGAGGGAAGGAAAGCCCTCCTCTCTGGGCACGGAAAGAGAGGAGGTGCTAACATATGTTCCCACCAGTGTGAAAACCCTCTGAGGGCTCTCCCCAGTGGGCTATACCAGCCTGGGCTCCAGTCTGTGCGTCAGAAAATGAAATTGATTGTGACATGAGCTTTTCATCAGAAAACAAGCTGTTTTAACCAAGTACCCTCTTAGAAAAGTTTCTGTGTTCAAGATACCTGTTTCCTTTCAATTCCCACACTGGAAAACACTATGGAAAATCTACCCTATTGTCCCACTAAGAGAAACAAAATAAAAATTAAATCCTACTTCAATCTGGTATGCAGTTGGCTTCACAAATAATTGAAATCTTTGAGAACCTGCTTGGGAGTTACTTCTTTTCTCCCATCACTGATACTGAACTAAACGAGGGGGTTCTGACTAGCACAAGCTTTCACAAAACCTAACGGAGCACATTGCTAAAATAGCATCTGTAATCGAATTAGAGAATAAATTACCAGTAGGAGTACCATGAAACATCTACCACTAACTAGGCAGTTTAGTCTATAAGGATGAGGGAGATGGAACTGGCAAGAGTGAAGGCTACTGGAATCTTTTGTAAAAATGAAACTTGGATCCTTGTCAAGGGGAAATTAGTTGGCATAACCACTAAAAGATAGAGTCTAAACCTTTAAGACACAAATCTAGAAAATGGATGAAAGTAACCATTGCTGAGTCAACCCACAAATGAGCCATGTAACCTCTTGGGAAGGATTGATAAGATAACCAGAGTTCCTGTAGAAGTGACCACCAGATGGCAGACTTAAGGTCTGGGTGTAGTTGATAGGTGAAAAATGAGAATATGGTAGCTAGTGAGTTCTTTGAAGAGTCCATTATCATTTCCTTTGTTGTCATCAAATAGTACTTAATAAACAATACACTATAGTTAATAAGCTCTTGCCACTTTATGGACCAAATTGTAAATGACCAAATTAGAATCCTTTTTGGTTAAGCAAATCCATAGGTATAACTAAAATCTGGGGATCTAATTTGTACTCTGAAGCCTGATGAAGTCTGGAGAGTTCTTTTTCTTATCTATTCTGTCCTTTTTTTCAGGTTGAGCACAATTCAGTTCATTATAGTAGGCTTTCAGAGGCCTGCTAGAGGGCTAGTTGTAAATCTGAGCCAGATTACCAAGATTGGGCAACTTTCCCAAAGCTAACAGGGTAATTCACCATAATGCCAAACCATAGTGCAGTTTCCAGAAGCACAGGCCTTGTTACCTTTTTTTTTAGAGAACTATAAAGAGTACAGGAAACATACAAAGTCCTCAGGCCAGAGGGCTAGGGGTGGGGAGAATGGGGATAGGGGATTCTTTAAGGGGAAATCAACTGCTCTACCAGAACCCATTTCCACAAGTGATACTTTTTAAAAAATGACTTACTAAGTTGTGAAGAAAAGATACTGGGAAGAGAATGTTGAAAGAAAAGGGCATTTATTCATTAACCAGTTGAGTATCGGTGGTTGCACCATGAATACCACAGAGAGGAAAGTGAAAGGAGTGTGCCCCTCCTTCACGGGCTCACTCCTTCCGCCAACCACCACCACAAACCCTCCTCATCCTGACGTTAAAATGCAGCTAAGCCTCTGCCCCGGTGTGCTGGCACCTGGGGACATCTCACCACAGAAACTGTACCATGTCAGTTTGCTTCTGACATATCAAACCCATCATTTGAGCCATTGTTTCATCACAAGGAAAATCCGGACTTCTCACAACTTACTTGGAAATGTTATTGTTTTCACGGATCTTCACATGGCAGAGAATGTTGGGCAACTTTTGGGTAACTAGCACTTTGATCTGATCCACAGAGCTACACAGCTTTAGGTAACCCAGATATAATCCAGGAGAGAGACGCTGATGACTCCTTTTGTGATAAGAGAGAATATCCTGTAGGGTGAAGAACAAAACAACACATAAAACACCTTGAAAAGGTAATCTGAAAACCTTTTCTTTTCTTGGGTGCACTGTGTCATAAATTAAAGGAGCTGTAGCTAAGCAGTTAGGTGAGAAGCCTTGGATACTACCATGAATGTTGCGGATGTGTTGGCTTACCTTCAGGAGAATTATCCTCCAAGTCAAGTAATCAGTCATTAATATAGCCTGCATGCATCCTATTTCCCTCAGTTTTTGGATCCGGGGTAGGTATGTGGGTTGTGACTGGGAATGGGAAACTAGAAAACTAGAATTCATAATTTCTGTGCTTGCAGGGCTTATTGTTTAGCTGCGGGGAAACAGAAATTTGCAAGTGTAAAAGCTGACAAAGCATTATAGGAAGCCTCCTTATTTCAGAATAGTTGGTATCTAGGAAAGGTATTATTAAATGACATCATGACTTGGTTGATTCTTTACCCTGAAAAATGAAATAAAAAGTAATAGCAGCAGATTTATTTATATTATTAACACTTAAGTTGTAGTTATTCATTAATTCTGAGGATGAAGAAAGAAGTATTGATTCCTTTTTTTTTTTTTGGCTTAGTTTTCTTAGACTAAATTGTATGATAGTTGAAATGCTATTCCTCACATTTAACTTCCACAACATGATCATGAAGAGGATATTTTTGCAAGAGTATTTGAAGTCTTCATATTTTTTCCCTGGCTTTTATTTATTTATTTTTAAATTTTATTGTTATGTTAATCACCATACATTACATCATTAGTTTTTGATGTAGTGTTCCATAATTCATTGTTTGTGCATAACACCCAGTGCTCCACACAGAATGTGCCCTCTTTAATACCCATCACCAGGCTAACCCATCCCCCCACCCTTTCCCTGGCTTTTAAAAAATGTTGATATTCAGGTCATTCTCATAAGGTTCTTGTTCATTTTGTGTTCTTCAATTGTTAACTGGCCTACCACTGCTAGATTCTTAATTGTCAGTAGCTTTGCCTGTGATTTGATTAGGTCTCCACATCATCTTCATCAGCTTCACGAAATTCTGTATCTTTTACAAGATTTTAAAATTTGTCTTGTAATAGATTTGCCTTGAATTTGCATTGTATTTTCACATCATAATATTCCATGGGCAGCACAGACTGAATGAAGCTGTTGGTGCAACAGGAAGTGCCAGCCTAGTTAGGCACAGAGGGATGTTTGAGTGGAGTCTTGTTTTATATGTGGTCAGCTCTCTAGTTGTGACTTTTGCTTCCCTATACAACTGCAGGAACTCAGACAGTGAATAATTAGAAATATGTATCAGTAGGTAAGACCTTTTTAAACCTTTGGGCAGTGGGGGAACTGGAAACACAGAGTTAGGAGTGATGAACCAAAGAAGAATTCCTATAGGCCAGAGTGTAGCCTGGTTTTCCAAGGGAGTGAAAAGAAGGAAGCAACCCTACCATGAAATGCAGGGAAAATTAAAAGGAAGAGAAAATCAAACATTTAAACTTGTACAGAATTCTGTCTGGAACAGAGAGGTATGAAGCCTTCCTTGACCTGTATACTCTGAAGGAGTGGCCCCTCCTTTGTAGAATTCACCATCTGCAACATCTAACATACACTGTTGTGAATTAGCTCCTCTCTCCCACCCTTTATCACACATAGTGAGTTCCAGGCACTACAAGAGACACTGAGGTTTCGGGTGGATGTGATGTGATCCTTACTTTTGAAGAGGTTGCGAAAGATGAGTAAATAAATGACCACAATATTCTGAAATCTGTTTTATAATAGAGGCAATGGAGGCATACAGAGGAAAGAGTACTTATTATTTTTCCTCTTTTATGTTCTTTTCTTGAACCAGACTATGAAATTAGTGGCAGTATTATGTTTTCTGTTGCTTTGTGTCCTTAGTACCCAGTGCTATTTCTGTTTATAATAGATATACAACATGTGGAAGTCAGGACAGGTCCCTAAGCCAGAACACAGGAGAATAGCAGAAGAGGGACAAAGTAAGAATGGTCGCAGTTGGGAGGAAGGCATAACTAGCAGGTACAGAAAAGCAAAGGCTAAGTAACTTTTATGTTATTTGGCAAAGAAAAAAAAAAAGACTAGAAAAATTGGATTTTGTGATCAAGAAGGAAGGAATTTTTATTAATGTCAGGAGATGGATAAAGCAGAACTTTTTGATGTCTTCTATCTCATCTCTTTAGAAAAGATCACAGGTAAATAGTTGACTGGAGGAAGTTTAGTCAAAGTGAAATTTTGAGAAATGAACAGGTAATAGAGAAAAGAATGAGAGAAGGAAATGGGTGAAGTTAATGAGAAGGGGAAATGGAAGTATTCAGATCAACAGAATTGGATGATATGCACCCTAGGGATACTTGCTGTACAAGCAGATGTGGCCACAAACCCACAGGTCATTATTTTTGAGAAGTGACGGGGAACTGGAAAAGTCTCTAGAGACTAGAAAAGGGCAAAGATACCTATCTTTGAAACAGGAAGGGGAGAAACACAGGATGACCCTGGTAATTAAAGACCACCAACTTATTGATCTTTGGGCAAAGTGAGAAAGAACCATCAAATAATCAATTTGCAGTTACCAAGAAATCCTGAGACACTAAATAGGAGTCAGTATGGTTTTGTGAAGGGCAAATCAGACAGAAAACTCTAATTTTCAACAACAAAAGGGCAGAATCCATAGACCAGGGAGGAGTCTCCGGTGTGATCTGTTTCACTAGATAATCTGGGAAAAGTAGAATCTTGACCACATTTAATAAGCTGACTATCTGGGTTGAGGATTTGTGGATGATGGAGATGGTGTGGGAACAGCAGACATGTTGAGTGATGGCCCAGTAGGGACTCGTCCTGAGGGCCTGTCTCTTTAGCTTATTTATTGATGTTCCAGACAAAGAAATGAAGAACGTGTGTATCAAAATTGCAGGTCCCAAATCTGTGGTGGTTTTGATTTTCTAGAAAATAGTAATAAAACTCTGAATGATCCTATGCATTGGAAAAATAAGCCTATCATAATTAGAGTTGAAACTTAATAAAAAAATGTGCTTGTAAAGACTCAAACCCAGGAGTACAAATATAGGATGGGTATAAGAGAAAAATATGTGGGGGTTAGAATAACCACAAATAGAATGAGTTAGGAACACACTGTGGTTATGTAAAAACCCACACCATTCTTAGATGGAGTAATTTACTCTTTCATTTTTTAAAAAAGACTGAGCATCTGCCTGTGTTTTCCCTGCCTTTACTAATGTTTTTGGAGCCTGAGAATTGTATGGGAAGAGAAGGAAACTGTCCTATTCACATAATCTGAGGTAACTAAGAAGGTCTCCTAAACCAAAGCCAGTGCCTGGGGGCCTATATATTGCCTGATTTGACTTCTAATCTGTTTTTCTAGCCTTTTTCTCTATTCCAGTCCTTTTGTGTCTCTTATCTCCAGCCAAAAATGATTGCTTTTTCCTTCCTCAGATGTGTCCTAATCTCTGTTCTTCGGTTCTTTGTTAGTTCATGAATTCACTCACTCTACAACTTTTACTGGGCACCTACTATGAATCAGGTGTTGTGCTAGAATATTAATGACATCGATGAGACTTGATCCTCCCCTTCATGGAACTCAAATTTCAGTGTGTGAGAGAGACCTGTAGCCAAGTTTTTCTAACTCAGTGTGATAAGGGTTGTGTAAGGTCCATTGTGGCCCCAAGGGAGGGTTAGATCGACTTTTCCACCTTATGCCTCATTTCTCTACCATGCCCTCTATTTAATTTAATTCTCTCTCTTTAATTTCTTCCTTCCTCCCTCCTTCTTCACTTCCTTTCTCCCTTCCTCACTCTCTTCCTCCCTCCCTCCTTTTCTTCTCCCTCCCTCTCTCCTCCTTTCTCCCTACCCTCTCTCTCTCTTTCTCTTTCTCTTCTTTTTTTCTCCACTTGGTGAACTTAATTTACCCTTCATGGCTCAGCCAAATGTCACCTCTTCTACAACGCCTTCCCTGATATTTCCAGGGAGAATTAATAGCTGCTTTGTCTGTGCCCCCATAGTACACTGTTTGTACTGCTATCAGGCTCTGGTTTAATTCTGCCTTGTATTACCTTGATTTGTTTACAAGTCTGTCTCCCTCCCTTGACTGAACTCCTTGAGAGCAGGGACCTTGACTTATTCATTTGTTTTTCCTATAGCACCTAGAAGAGTTCCTGGCACCTAGTTGGTGCTGAAAAAATGTTTATTAAATATGAAGCGAGAGGCCCAGAGGTAGTGGAGTCTGGGGCTGGGCCTCTGGGAGAGAATATGCTATGCTGGTGCAGGGACCAGGAAGGGTATATCCAACCACTCTCCATTGATCAGGTATCCTAACAGCTTGTTAGAGGAATGATAGATGCTTTTCTAGTAACTACAGGGCTTTTGTTTTATTGCAGAGGGGATGGAAACTGAATTGTCCAGGGATAGCAAAGGTCATAAAATGGTGGCCCAGGTCTTTGAGGGCCTAAGATTATACGGACTGCAAAAAATTACAATTTTTTTAAAAAGATTTTATTTATTTATTTGAGAGAGAAAAAGTGAGCGAGAGAGAGAGAGCATGAGCGGGAGGAGGGGAGGAAGGAGAGGGAGAAGCAGACTCCCTGCTGAGCAGGGAGCCTGATGCGGCTTGATCCCAGGATCTGGAGTCATGACCTGAGTCGAAGGCAGACACTTAACCCACTGAGTCATGTAGGTACCCCAAGAATTTAAGTTTTCTAAATTATTTTCTAACCCTTAAAAATAAAGAGATTTAATTCAAAACTCTAGATTTTCCAACTTCTCTTTAAAAACTGGAAAACATTTCAACATTGGGACCACTTTCTTCCACTGCAGTTAGCTGAGGCTGAATGGGCTATTTAGATGGGACAAGGGCCCTCTGGATTACTGTAGTCTCTGTTGCTTCTGCTTGTTTCTTTCTTTCTTTTTTTTTTTAAATTGAAATTATAATTCACATACTATAACATTTCACCCTTTTAAAGTGTGAGATTCTGTGTTTTTTTTCCTATGTTCATAAGCTTGTGTGACTATCAGCACTACCTAATTCCAGATCATTTTCATCACTCCACAAAGAAGCCTTGCATTCATTAGCTGTCATGCTCTAGTCCCTCCTCCGTCGTCTGCTTTCTGTCTCTGTGGATTTGCATATTCTGGATATTTCATATAAATGGAATTGTACAATATGTGGCATTTTGTGCCTGGCTTCTTTCACTTATCATAATGTTCTCAACGTTAACATTCATCCACTTTGCAGCATGGATTAGTACTTCACTCATTTTTATGGCTGAATAATATTCCATTTATGGATATACCACTTTTGCTCATCCATTCATTAATTGCTGGACATTTGGTTGTTCTACCACTCTTTGGCTACTTGAATAATTCTGCTATGAACATTGCTAAACAAGTTTTTGTGTGAACCCAGTTGTTCCTCATGTCCAGCTCGACTGGCTCATTTTCATTCGTCTTCCTGATTCCTATAGTTTTTGATTCCCATGTTAGGGGCTGCTTGGAGGTAGAAAGAGCAGGAATGTGCTGGAAAAAAGAAACAACAGAAAAGGGCCGAAGAGATAGTAGGTCCTGGGTGTAGCAGGGATAAGTAGATACAGCGTGACAAGGAACGCCTATGGAGGAGGAGAAGGAGAAAAGGGCTCAGAGGGGACAGAAGGCAGGCTTCACGGGCTTCTCTAAGATGATACTTTTTTTTCAAGGATTCAGAGAAAAGGAGGGAGAGGGCGTGTAAAGCAGCTTGGCAGAATGGGAAGGGGACCTGGCTAGGAGTCAGAAGATTTGGGTCCTAGTTTCTCCTCTTTTGCTTTTTGGCTTATATAACCTTGACGAGTTATTTCCCTGAAATCCGTAGCTTCATCTGTGAATGGGACACAGTAAAACTGCCCACTCAATCTCGCTGGGTTTTCACAAAGATCAAATGATAGTATAGATGTGACAAAGTGTTATAAACTTGAAAATATAGTACAAATGTGAAAGATTAATCTTCAAAGAAGAGTTCACCTGTGAAGTTTCCAGTTATTAAGGTGACCCTGGAGATCAATGTCTGAGTAACTCAGCACCTGAGAGGGGCCTCCCTATTGGAAATACTCTCATTGCCAATTAGTTTGCTCAGAGGGACTCTAATTTGTTCATAATAACTCTCTTCTCCTTCCCAGACAAGTGTGGGAAGGATTTCTTTCTTTCTTTCTTTTTTTTTTTTAAAGGATTTCTTTCTTCTAGATATGAGAAAGGCTGGTAACGAAGGTCTGGGACTTGAGAGGATCAGGAATTTGAGAGGGTTAGACCCTGGAGTTTCCTTGGGGCCCTAGAGATTAGTAGATTAGTTATGGATCCAGATTTTGTTAGAGCCCTTACCTGTTTTGAAAACCCCATTGCAGATTGTACAATTTTTATACAACTTTTCCTTAGTTCTTATGGAAAGATGGAGTGGTGCAATGCCCCAAGGGATGACTGAGCCAGTTCTAGGGTCTGTGGGAGGGTCGGAAGGGGAGGAGATGGCCTAGGTATGCTCTAAGGAGGGCCAAGCATTGTTTGGATTTTTCTGAGTGGAGAAATAATAACAATCACTAACATTTATTGAGTGCTCACTTGGTGCTACTCTTGTAATGCTTTACGTAGTCACTCATTCAATCTTCATTAGAACCCTATGAAGTAGAGTTTCTTGTAGAGGAGGAAATATGAGAGATCAGAAATTAAGTTGCCCTAGTCATATAACTAGACAGGTGGAGTCAGGAATCATACCAGTCATCCAGATTCTGAAGTGGTGCCTCAGTCTGTGTTGTGACATGACAGGAAGAAGCCTAAGCTTCCCATCTAAAGGCCTGGTGGTCATCACTCTACTGACCACAAGAGAAGAGAGTGGTTCGTAGCCCAGAATTGTGGGAAGTTACCCAGCCTGCTTTGGGCAAACACCAAAACTTGTGACTACTTCCACGTTGAGTTGGTGGGGCCAACTCCTGACATAATTAAAGTCCAGGCGTGATTGGATACCAGCCCCAGTCGTTTTATTCCCCATTTCCTCTCCAGTTTAAGACCTGTATGGAAGGAGGGGAGAGAGAAGAAGGAGGAGGAGAAGGAGAGTGGGGGTGGGTGGGAGTGACATCGAGCAGAAATGTGCCAGTCAGAGGGGGTAAATTTTCCACTTGAATCTGGGTGGAAACCTGATCTTGCCTCTATTTTTGGTCTCCTTCTCTAACAGCCTTTTGCCAGATTGGAATTTTTCTGCACCTGTAACACATTTTTAATGTAATAAGTCTAGGAGAAACCAGGTATTATATCATGCTGGGGCCTGTGCTGTGTTTCTAGGAGCAAAGGTAGCCCAGACCCCAGTTTATCCCTATAGGGGATTAGCGTATTAGTCACCCTGTAAAAGCTCAATTTATTATGATTTTTTAAATGTTTCTTTTAGCACTTGCTTATAAAGGGTGAAGAGGGGAGCCACGAATGTGTCTGTGTTCCCTGCCCTCATCTCCTACACACACACACACACACACACACACACACACACACACACTAGCCCTCTATCCATTTCATAGGAGCCCAAATTCCATATAATCAAAGCCAGAGGTATTGGCTTTGACCAGTTAGCTTACCTCTGCTACAGTGGACTCCATTCTGGTTTGGGCTAGTGCAAGGAATGGAAAGTTGAGATTATTGTATCAATCACTCCTCGGTGGAGGAAATGAAAATAAGATAGTGGGCTGGTGGCTTAGCTTTTTAGGGTGATCATGAAGGGCTCTAGGCACCAAGGCTGGGGTTTGGCTTGTTTATGTGGGACAGAGCCCTTTCCCATTATTCTGGGCTGGCCGTCTTGCACATACATGTCATTGGTTGCCCAGGGCTCAATCAGGGTAGGTGTTTCTGCCAGCTTTACCACCTAACTGGAGAGTACTATAGAACTCATCCCCATGACTGGGTTTAAAAAAAGAAAAAGAAAAAGCAAGAAAGCAGGCAAGAAAGCAAGAAAAGAAAAGAAAAGAAACAGTGTGACGCCTGTGTTCACATAAGAACATGTGAGGGGTGTGGTGGTGTGGAGAGAGCCCTGGACTCCAGCAGAAGATGTGCTTTGGATCCTGATTTTGCCAGCCAGCCTGAGTCTTGATCTAAGCTGCCCAAATTTTGAATTTTGGTGGCTATTCCGTTCCCAGGCGAGTCTCTCATCCTTATCTGCAGTCCCTCATGACTGCAATCCTAACGCCTGCCCGGGAATGTGATGTGACATGGCAGAAAGACGCCTGAGTCCAGTCAGAAGATCTGAGTTTAGGTTTTCAGCCCTGCCATTTTCTAGCTGTGTGCCCAGGGGCAAATTCCAGTTTTGTGGGGACTGAAGTGAATACAATTTTTGGTGCCTTCTTTAAGGTGAAGAATGCAAAATTCTTAGGATCCCTGCCAGGGCACTGGAAGGGGCTTGTACAGGTGAAGAGCTGAATGTGCTGGAGCTTCGTTAGCTTCACTAACTCTGCCTCTCTGTGTGGCCATATGCCATATAATTTCTTTGAGCCTCAGTCATTTCATTCCTAAAATGGACTTAATCATGCCTGTCTGACCCAGGAGAGCATTAGAAGGAACAAATGAGTAAATAGGTGTTAAAGAGTGTTTTTGTTCAGTGTTTTACACACGCACACAGGTGCGCACACACAGGCGCGCACACACACACAGTCCAGAAATGTATTATTATTATTATAGTCTCTTCAGGTATTGGTTTAATGTTTTGATTATACTACCTATAGACCCCTACTCAAATATTTGTCTAAAAGTTTGTCATTGGTTCACTGGTCAGGGGTATTTTCAGAGTGCTTGCCACTTGTATTGCTTGATGAATTCCAGATCTGGAGAGTGATAAGTAAAAAATAAACTTCCCTGAATCTTTCCTATGTGTGGAATACAAGCAATGACTCTGGGCCCTCTCCTCTCCATCACTGCATTTGTAAATGGCTCTTGGTATATTTCATTAGAATCTCAATAAGTGTGTTTGGAACTTTAAATATACAGTATTAGAAAATTGAAAAGACTACATACCTGGATGGTGATCAGTAAAATGTCTAAAGCTGTTGGCTCCTCGGGTGTTGACAAAGACTTCCTCTGGCTTTGCAGCTTTGAGATCTGCATCCATTTGCCATTAAAAAATGAATAGAGCATCTCCACTTCTCTGATGGTGATTATGAGGATGTTTCCATGCCGGTCTTTAATGGGCTCATAGTAAACTCTTCCCAAGTTGTGTGTTCCGAGTAAATTCTAGAAACAAATAGATTTCTGGTAGCCGGGATGATATTGTGCAAACAAAGCAACATAATTGCAACAAAAGACACTGCATAATTAACTGATATTTCTGAAAAGTTTTTTTTTTTTTTAAAGCAAACTTAAACCTAGAATATGTGGCACCACAGAAATGTACTTAACAGAAGCTCAAAGAAAATCTCTTCACCATAAGCCTGCAAAGATTATAGCAAGAGGCACAAAAATTATGTTTTTTTAAGCAAATTCAATATCTGTAAATATCTCTTACCCACATAGACACACCAGCACATAGACCTCAGTTACCAGCACTTGAAGAGAATCCCAGATGTTTTAAAGAAAAATGCCTGATATTTCAAGTATGCCACTTGTGGAGTTTTCAAGAGATCTACAGTAAGCTGGTATGAAGTGGGGTTGTTTAAAATGAAGAAGTGAATTGACAATGTAGCACATTGTACAGGTCCCCAAATGACTGCACATTACTTTCAAGATACTTTAATTGGGAGATTGGCCTGGTTTGACTTATCTGAATTTCAGGGGTTTCTATTTATTTAAAATTATGTTAAAATTGTTTGTGAGCTAGGTCAACTGAGGCAGACAATACTTTTAGTAAGGTAGGAAGAGAAAGATGCCACATCAAATGTGGAGGGGTCCAGGCAGATGTTACTAAAATAAACAGAGTTTTAAAAATATGCAGGGTTTGAAGATTTTTAACCTAGATCACTGGATGAATAGGATAAAACACCCTTTTACTCTGAATATCTGTGATTTTTCAGAAATATAAATAAATCATCTCAGAGCTCCCAGCTGCCATTGGTGAGCTCAGATAAATGTTGATGACCTGTTAGCAGGAGAGCGGAAAGTAGAACCGGAACTTGGAAAAGTGACACGGATGACCTAAAAATGAATGAGCCAGCTGGTCCGTATCTACAGCTATGAAAACACGGGTAGAGACTGTGTCTTGTATCTTTTATTTTTCCTCATTAGAACTGGACACATAAGTAAGAAATTTCATAAATAATTATTGACATATAAACATTTGGTGGGATCATTATTTTTTTAAAATAACCTAATCATTCAGTCAGATTATTCCTTTACAGTAACTGACTTCTAAATCTAGAGACGTTAATTGGGTAAGGCTTTTCATCCAGCCCTCTGTGGTAATACAGTTTTATAGAAAGGCAGTTTGCTGCCAAGTAATACTGGTAAATAAACTGGTAAACTGGCTATCAAAAAAAAAAAAAAAAGAGGGCCTGATTTGTAACATAGGCCAATTTCTGTGGTGTAAATGCTCCCACTAATGCTAGCCAAGAGTTTGACAGCAGGCTTACAGAATTCCTGAATATTTAACAGTTGGCTCTCCTGAGCCAGTGTAAGTTGGTTCCAGCATGCCGCCGCTGCTAAGCCTTTAGTTACACTGGCGCTGAGTTCTAGGGCGGCTGCTGTTCATTCACTCTTAGACTTCTGAAGAAGTTTTTACCCTCTCTGGCCCCAAGTTTCATCATCTAAAATTAAGGGTCAGCCCTTATGCTAATCCTTACCTTCAGAGTGTTTGGGGGATTAAATGAAACAATGCTTGAGAAAGTATTTTGTAAATTCTCAAGCTTCATACAAGTAGGGTATGGGCTTTATGTTCTAATTGGAGTCCCACCCTGGCTTACACTTACTCTTTTTCAGGACTCTGCCTAGGTTTTATCCTTTCTGGGAGGACTTTCTCAACTGTCTCAGAATTGACCATCCCTTCTTTTGTCCCCTATCGTTTCCTGTACAAACTTGTATTTTAGTGTGACTCTGGCTTTCCTGCAGATTGATGTACATGTCATGAGCTCATGTTTCATTTCTATGTCTCTGGGTTACTTGCACAGTGCCTGACACATATTAATAGCCCAATAAGTCTTTGTTGACTGAATTAACATTTTATCATTAGGACACTGGAAAATATGATTTATTTTGGACCAAAACTGGCGGGGAGACATTGAATGTGGTGGTCACTGCATTTAAGCAGAGTTATCATGAGTGGTTCACCATCATCATTGGATATACTGACCAATAGTTTGAATCAGAAAGCACGAAAAGTTTTCCTGAAATTCTTTATTGACATCAAATTGGGTTGGAGAACTAGCTCTGGGGAGAGCCCAATTTCAAAGCAGAATGTCCTTGTGAAAGTAAACTGCATCCATGTTGCAAGAGGGCACATTTGGGATTCTTTAGGACCTAAAGGAAAACCAAACCACCTTAATACCTTTCATGCTATGGGAGATCTGGGAACCCTGAGGATCCTACAAGTTAAACAGGAATAAGAGCCACCTGATGGCTCACAGGAATGCATCTAGGTTATAATCAGAACAAATCACAGGACTATCAGTAAGCCTTCGACAGATAAGCACACTACTTAGAGACCTTTATTCAGCTTGGGGTGACATGAAAAGTTGAAGGAAATCCAGAGTAAAGATATGAAGGCCTGGAAAAGGAGAGTAAAATTATGGGGAAACCTTTATCCCCCTTCTTGAAAAATGAAAAAGACATGGGACTCATGTGTTAGCTGGCTTTTACTCACTAGCACTGATTTCTAAAAGTAACGGAAGAGGAAAGTTTAACCCAATCTGCAGTGTCAGATGATTACTGTATTTTGAGGGTATTTCGGATACCCCTCAATATAAGAGCAGTGTACACTTGGGGACTCCCATTTTCCTAAGGGTGGGAAAAACAGTGTGGGATCTTGGCCACTTATGGGTTTTCTCATCTTACTATTCTTTTTCACTCCAAATGCTGGCAGATAATTGTCTTTCCTGCTGCTTAGGTCATATTAATCAATTAATTAATTCATACTTTACCTTCTTTCAAATAAAATCTAAGACCACTCCTCCTAAATCAGCTCCCAATGATGCGGAATAGACTACTTTTACTTTTTAAGCTATAATGTGGGTAATTTCTCCTATTTAAAATTTTTGTCTGCTTTTTGTAAATGAATGCATAAGATGATGAAGCATTGGAAAAAATGTAGACTTTAGAGTCATATAGATCTGGATTTGTATCCAGACTCTGCTACTTCCTATTAATGCGACTTTGGGCAAGTTATATAACCTCTTCTAGGTCTCAGTTCTGTCATCTATTAAATGAATATCAATAATACTACTTTCTCATTAGGGTGTGGTGGAGGTTAAGTGAGAGATAGTTTGTAAAGCACTTATCACAGTGTCTGGCATGTATTCTGTGAAATGAGTGAAAGTTGTTGTTTTGTAATTATTATTTATTATTATGTATTAAAGGACCTCACTGTAGAGCAGAAATTGGGATATAAGGCACCTGGTGCACAGTGACTTACACGCACTGTGTGAAGGTAAGTCAGTGTGCGATGGAAATAGGAGGAGAAAGATGGCGATGGTGGGGATAAAATGTCTGAGCCACTCTTGAAAGAGCACAAGCCAGGGCGTGACATGGTCAGAATCTTTTATTGGCTACTCTGGCAGAAGTGTGGAGAAAGGATTGGAGAGTATATTGGAATATATGTATTCTAGTATATATGATACTGGAAGCAAGAGCATGACTTTGGAGGCTTTTGATGTAACTGGAGTAATCAGGCAGTGGTAGTGATGCTGGAAAGGGGAGGACAGCACAGTGAAATATACCAGAGGTAGGTCCACAGGATTTATGTATGGCTGATGCCAATCAGGCTATTTAAGAATGCATTTTTACTTCCTCTTAACATCATAAAAAATGTTAGATTAGCAAAGAGACCTAAAATATTAAGTAGCAATTTCCCCAAATTCAGTTTTCTTCCTCCTGTGAAATATGTTTTGTGTGCCTGTCACACTCCCTTCCCACTGCCTAAAAATCAAAGGTGGCGTCACTATTTTTAGACATTTTCATCCTAGAGATCAGCAAATGGTTTGGGCAATAGGTCCTACAAAACAAAACAAAACAAAATGACAAAGACTCCTGTTATTTAAGCAGGCAAACAGAAATGTGAATTAGAGAGGTAATGTATAGCAGTGCTCTGGCCTTTTGGGCACTGTAAAGGGTAACTATTTACTGAGTACTGTGAGGCGCTGGTCACCATGCAGGGCTGGTGAACTATCCAGGTGGTGACTATGGCATGAGGTATAGTATTACTGTGATCCTTTTTTTTTTTTTTTTTTAAATAAGATAGAGTACTCCCAGGTGTGATCTTTGGGGTACAGTGGTTGGACAAATACATTTATTTATTCAACCAATACTATTGTAATAGGAGTGATGAAAGAGAAAGTGGGGTCAATGCCAGGAGGCTTTGCAACTTGGTGGTGGGAAAAGAATTCCCATTTATTTTCTTAATGAATTATACAGTGAAATCATCACCTGATATGGGGTTGTAGAGTGTGGGGAAGGGGTAGGGGTGCAAGAGAATGGAGAAGGTTTTAAATAGTTGCCTTATAGTTTGGGAAAGTAAAATTAGTAGAGAAATGGCATGTGATCACTAGGTAACTTATATGTGAGAATTGTAGCCATGAATTTAACAAAGAAACAGTCAGCCCCTTTTTTGGTGACTTTTATGCAGCAGTCTGCAAGTACTCCAGTGTAGACATGTTGGATTCATTCAGGCCTGGATTTTTTCCAAGTAAATATGGTGGGGAGACAGTGGCCAGAAATGTAGAATATTTTCAAGGGAGTAATTAGGGTGGGCCAAGGAATCTAAGCTGGGCAAAAGAAGGAAATGGCATCAGAAGAGGGTTGATAAATGATGAAAGGTCGTGGGGTCGATATATTGGGGGGCCAGGGGGTAGGTGAGTAGGGGCACACTGACCGTCATGGCTTCTCTCGAGCTCCTCAGTGCCTAGCTGCGCGGGCTGTGATAGCCAGACTCTTCTCACGTTACTGAGACGAGATAAATGTGCTCGAGGGATAAAGAGCACTATTTGAAAGTCTAAGCTAGTTCAGTCTGTGATCCAAGCATGTCTAGGCTGTATGATGGGTTAACGAAGAGTCCACTGAGGTGTCTGAGTCTCCTGAGAAAGAAGTAAGGTACCAAGGAGCCTCCTGGGAATGCACATTATCCTAAGGAAAGAGCAGTTTGCGGTACTGTGGCTCGTTCCAACTCAAGCTGATCAGTGATGAAAGGAAGGGGCACTTTGAATTCAGTACAGTCATCATGGCCTAGCTCCAAGAACTCTTCCTTGAGTTGAAGAAGATTTTGTAGTCAAGAGTGAGTTGAAATAGAGAGCATTGTTTGCTAAAATCTCTGAGGCCACTGAGCACACAGGCAGTAAGCTGGTCATGCAATGGAGTATAGCACAGGAGGAGCAAGAGTCGCCTTTCAGAATTAGAATAGCAACACAATAATTGTTACTATTTCAGGTGGCTGAACTGTTATTGTGTGGGTCAAGAAATGAAGTTCCTATAATTGCTGGTGGGGGTGGAGCCACAGAAATATTTTTTTGTTGTTATGATCCTATTTTTATGCCTTGGCTGGTATGGCCTGGCCAAACACAGCTACATAGATTCCTGTTATGTGTATTTCTGGGGTTTGTGTAACTGACAGCTTTGTAGGTAAATACCCATTGCTGATAAAGGCTCAGTGCTCTCTTACAGACTCCACAAATTCAGGTAATACCAGAAAACAATGAAAGGAAACCCAGAAGAACTTGGTTAAAATTCCGTGTCATTTCTAGGAGGGGCTTTGTAACTTATAAATATTCTTGTATTTAGATCAGGGGACCTGATCTGATTAGGTTAATGATATGGAAGGATGAATAAATTCAGGATTAAAGGTAAGCTTCTAAGAATTTTCTTTCTTTTTTTCTTTCTTTCTTTTTCTTTCTTTCTTTCTTTCTCTCTCTCTCTCTCTCTCTCTCTCTCTCTTTCAAGTAAGCAAAAATGTATGCAAATTCCTGTGCTTTAACAAAAGATCAAGCCAAGAAACTGTTCAAAATACCTGCTGGTCTCTTTTTCCATCTCTATACAGTAGTTAGATGCACAGGATGCCAGAGCAGCAAGGGTTTGTCCTGTGATTGAGTCAAATTCCTCTTATTTTGCAAGTGATGAAACTGAGGCCCAGAAAGGAGAAATGAGTTGACTGATTAATATCAAATCCAGAACTCAAGTCTCACCTCTTGTTTAGGGGGTCACTCCTAGACTCTTGAAGAGAGACCCTTGTTCCTTGTCCAGGAAATTGCCAAAGGCACAGTTTCCCTACATGAACAGATGTGCAGCTCAGACTGCGTAAGAAGCCTTTATATGCTCAAGGATCTAGAAGAGAGAGGAGCCTGTCCTTTCCCTTTCCAGGTGGGCTTGGTAACTGAACTGACCAAGCTTTTCTAAGCTTTCCTTGGGAATCTGGGTTGAAACCTGGCCCCTCACCTGTAGCTGGGCCGTGGCTGCAAGCATCTTCTGCCGAGTTTGCAGCACTGTGGATGAAGACATGGAGATAGGTACGCTTTGTCTCAACCACCTTATATCTTCCCACATACAAGACAGCTGCAAAAGAAGTCACAAGGTTATATCATCATCCAAGCCAGTACATGATTTAGGTTGTGGCATCAAAGCAAAAAGCAGGGGAAAGGAAACCTGACCCCTGATGTTTGTTCTCCAGTCCATTTTCAGATACATGCAAAACAACTTTTTGATCTCTGTCCAATTGGAAAAAGATCTGAATGTTAATGAAATAGTCAGATCCACATTTTAGGCTTTGCCAAATGATCCCATAACTCAGAATAGTGGAGACACAGTCTGACAGAATGCGAGCTTCTTTGCTTTGAAAATGTAGCGTAGATGCTACTTTCACATTTTTTTATGGCACAGGGCATAGCAGGGCTGAAAGAAGACCTTTGAGATAATTTACTCCCACCCCAATACTTTGATCACTGGAGACTCCTCAACAAAGGTTTCAGAGATTTATGTATAGAAGCATTGGTGCGAACTGGGGAAAAATGAAATCAGAACTCAGTATACCTTTGTGAACCACAGAAAATCTTGTGTAATGGAACTAGTGTGAGAGTCATCAATTTCAACAATCGGTATTTGATCTTCATTGGTGACTAACATATTGTCTTTGTAATAAAATATAACGGCTAAGTAGAGTCCCCTAAAAAGAAAAAGCAAAATAAAGAATTGTCTTCAAGTGTCTCTTCTACCAAGCTTGAATCATGGAAAAACATATTTTTGGTCATGATAAAAGATCATTTAAAATATACCTATGATCATAGTGCTGCTAAGTATCACAGGTTCACAGGCTAGAACTCAGCGAAATTATTATCTTGCCCTAATTCTCAGGAGAAAAGTGAATTTCATGCTCTTTTAATAACAAAAAGGAAATTTCTATCATGTTGCTACTAAGAATCCAAACCAGCTGATTCCTGAGAAATTAAGACTTCCTGGAAAAACTGCAATAGGACCCACCGTTTTAAGGTCTTCACAAACTTATTTGAGGAATGGAATAGGTGTTTCAGGCTCCTTGAGACTGACTGCTTGCGGCCCGTGTTTTGTAATTTTGAAGTTTCTGAAACACAGAAAAAACTACACTGTAAATTCTACTGGCAGCGCAACACGCCCAGTACCTTCTTCCCACGTCCCTGCCTTCCTCTTCCTTGTCCCCTGGGTGTCACTTATCCTCAGTTTCATGTAGGGATTCAGCTCATTCATTTCTACAAAAAGCTCTTATATCTTGAGTTGCCAGTGGTTACCTCCATTAATGATCAGCTCCTCAAAAATGCTGGAGATGAGTAACATTTATAACTCCAGGGGAAACCACTTAGGCATTTTGTTTATATTTTCCAGATGAGTTATTTATTATAATGTGGGATAAAAAGAAATGGAATCAAATCTTTGCCTTCCTCCCACTGCATTTAATATTCATACATTTCTCAATGTTGGCAAAGCTCTTCCTGTTAGTCTATATATTCCATTAATTTTTTTTCATTATACAATTAATATAGGCACATTACAGGAAGTCTGGAGAACAGATAAAAAGAACAAAACTCCACCCCCTTTAGTACAACCACGGCTAGCATTCTGGGGCAATTTTTTTCCAGTGTATATGTTGGCTTACAAAAATAGTTGTAGGCATTGGTATGATTGTCATCATTATTATTCTGAAGAAGAAACAGATTGAGAGGTTAAAATGGATTGCCCAAGACTGAAAAGCCAGTACCCAGAAAAACCAAGACATTAATTTACTGAACAAATATTTTTCCGTACACTGTAATGCACTGTGGCTATATTGATGAGCAAATCATCCATTGCTTCTGTTTATCCCTTCTATTTACAACCTGGAGCTTTCACTGATAAAACTTGCAGGCTTCCCCAGACAATCTTTACAAATAGTACTCCATGGAGCTAAGCTAAATGATCACTGATTTCAGTTTGCATAGTCTGTGTCATGAAGGGGGAAGCTGAGGTTGTTGGGGTCGTCACCAGATTTCAGACAGATGTGTGTGTCACTGGGGTGGGAACATGGTCTACATCATTGCTATTAGGCATGGAAAGCTGGGCGGATAGCCTGTGGCTGAGGCCCAGTGTGGTCTCCTTATGATCCTATAGGAGCAGTTGGGAATAAGCTGACTGACACAAGCATTCATGCCAGCTTCAAGCTAGTGCTGGTAACGGTTATTCCTGGCAGAACAAAGCAAAAACATTTTTCTCTGACTTGAACATGAATTTGGCTGGTCACACTGTGCTTGAAAATGATGCTGCTGGGACTTCCGGTTAAAGGCAGCATATTGAACATATTCATTACATGCTACTCTCTCCCTAAATCTCACTAAAACCAGAGTAAAGAGATTTAAAAAAAGGAAACTGTATAAATCTATAAAGACAAAGAGATGGGAAAGGGAACAAAAGCAAGTGAACGTTGGTAGCTGGAAAGCAGATGGACAGATGGATTTAGCAGACTTGAGAAAGATGAATCCTAAGCCAGCAGTGAAGAAGGCCGAGAAGTAACCCGATTCACCCCTTGGGCACCACAACTGCTGGAAGTGGGGGATGAGTGTGGAGCTAAAATCAGAGGGATTTGTTGAAGTCTGTTTAAAAAGCAGTCAGACTTCTAGATTTCCTCCTGTAACCTGCATAGATGGACAAACCTTTCCCCACTCTAGAAAAAAAGCTAGCGGCTTATTCTCTGAAAAATATAAAAACGGGTTTCTAGAGTGGGAGACATGGAGTACAGTTAAAAATGAGGGTGGGAGAGTAGTACTGCACCCAAAACAGGTGGATGAAATGAAAGTTTCCATACAGATTATTTCCCCATTGGACTCTCAGAACACTGGTACTCAAACTTATACCCTCCAGGAAGGACACTGGAAGAAGCTTTTCTGGAGACTCTGACCAGACTAAGAACTCACTCAAAAGCTTCTGACATTGCTTTCATTGGTTTCTGAAAGAAAAGGCCATGCCAGATCACCCTACAGTGAAGCCTATAGATAAAAAGCCCTATCAATGTGCTCAGAGCTCCCCAACAGCTACTGAGCTCTCTTTTCTTCAGTCTCGGTGAACATCCAGGGATCACCAGGCAGATGTGAAGAACATCTAACAGGAAAGACAGAGGCCAAAACCAAATAAACAAAAGAGCAATTTAGAGGAGAGACAATGCTGAGAGAAGAAACTATAAAATGAAACGAAGCCTATCATTAATAGCCTGAGAGAGAAACAAAGGCACTGCATCCTTGTGAAAAGGATAGGAGTCTTTAACAGAAACTTTCAGAGAATAAAAGAAAGCACTGGGAATTAAAAACTATGCTATCAAAAACTGAAAAACCCAATAGAAGGCTTAGAAAATAAGGTTGCAGAAATTGCTGAGAAAGCGTAAGGGCATGGGGATGGAAAGCAGAAGAGAAAAAGAAAAATTAATGGGCTAACCTAGGAGGTTCAGCATCAGGCTATGAGTCCTAGTAGGAGGGAGCAGAGAAAAAAAGAGGGGGAGAAATAATTAACTTTTAAGATTATATCCCATAATTGAAGGGTGTAGCTTCCCGTATTGAGAGGGTTTGCCAGGTGCCCAGCACAACAGACAACGGTACACCCACACTAAGGCGTGGTGCATTTTCACTGTTATTCAGCGTATTAAGAGGATGAGGGTTAGGAGTTATAATGTGCATGTAAGAGGCGGGGAGGGGAAAGGGAAATCATCCTTCCTTAGTTGAGGTGATGCCTCAAATTAGAAAAAAATCAAGAGTTAGCAATATAAACATGTTATTCAGAGACACGAAGAAAATATCAAAGCAGTTTTTAGAGTACCGAAATTAAAAAAAAAAAAACAACTTAAAAACCTGCCGGAGAAGAAGAAAAAAAGGTATCCTACAAAACCTCTGGAATCATCAGACTTCTCGGTATGGAAAGCTAGAAAAGGACAAAGCAGCACCTTCAAAACCTGACAGAAAATGATTTCAACCTAGAATTCTGTACTTACCTGAAACCTTAAATAAGTAAGTAGAATAAATGCAGTTTTAGACATTCAGTGTATCCAAAAGTTAGCTCCCAAGAATCCTCTCAGGAAATTAAGGAAATTACTAGAGTAAGGACTCCACCAAAATGAAGGACTACCAAGAAAAAGTAAGACATGGGATACAAAAAGAAGCGATCCAAGATTGGAGGGTGGCCAGAAGAGTCCCCAATATGGTGGCTGAAAGGAGATCCTACGGGGCCAGCTGTGCGCCAGACACAGGCAGCCAGCAACCAGTCTAGGGTGGAGCAGGTCAGAGGGCTCCAAGAGGTTTCTTTAAGAAGTCGCAATTGAAACAGTGCTAATATATTCGATTGGATTGAGAGAAAACTGACATAATTGGAGAACAGCTTGGGGATTAATTAGCTATAACCACATAGAAAAACAAACAAACATACTATAAAAGATGACTGTTAAGTACAGGGAGAACAAAAAGTTGTCCAGGAAAGGAAAATAATCATAGAATTAAGTGATCATTATAATGTAAGCAATAAATATTGATCTTACTAAAATTACAATACAAATCTATTAGGAGGACAAAGGGTAGGAATTGTAATCCGTAAGTAAGGGGGAGGGGAAAAAAGAAATTTCTCATCTTTTCTTAGAGAGGTAATGCCTCATTAAAAAAAAATCAGATTAGCAATATAAACATGTTATTTAGAGATATGAAGAAAATATCAAAAGAACTGGCTAAAAGAATTGAGCCTTTGGGGAAGAAAAAATGGAGAATGGGAAGAATTTCTTTTTTTAAATAATAAAGCTCTTAAGTGCTTTACTTATTTAAAGTCTTTCAGGCCTGGGCGCCTGGCTGGCTCAGATGGTTAAGTGTCTGCCTTTGGCTCAGGTCAGGATTCCAGAGTCCTGGGATCGTGTCCTGCATCGGGCTCCCTGCTCAGCGAGGAGCCTGCTTCTCTCTCTGCCTCTCTCTCTCTGTCTCTTATGAATAAATAAAAAAAATCTTTAAAAAAAAGAAAGTCATTCAGTCCTTAAAAAATGGCTGACAAGTATAGATAATTTTTTTTTAATAAGATTTTATTTATTTGAGAGAGCGAGCACAAGCAGGAGGGAGAGGGAGAGGGAATCTGAAGCAGATTCTGCACTGAGCACAGAGTCTGATGCGGGGCTTGATCCCATGACTGCAAGATCATGACCTGCGCCAAAACCAAGAGTTAGACGCTTAACTGACTGAGCCACGCAGGTGCCCCAAGTATAGATAATTCTTATCTGCATTTTACAGGTGAGCAAACTGAGTTACAGAGAGGGTAGGTAAGTGCTCAAGGTCACACAGGTAGTAAGTGTCCAGTCTGAATTTGAACCCAGCTAATCCATGATCTTAGCTGCTTACACTAAGATGACTCTCACATTATAATCATTCATCATGTAAATTAAAATGAAGATTAAACTGAAAAAACAAAAAGAAAACAGAACTACTATTACTGGTTGGGAAAGGGGCCTGTGCAAATGTTAAATATTCCGGGTCTCCTCCATTCTGGGCACATGAAAGAATTTCACTTCTTGGAACCCTGTGGTTGGGTGTAGCCATGTGGCCAATTCTGGCCAATGAGTTTTGAATGTAAGTGACATACATAAAGTCCTGTCCATATGAGACATTCAAGAGTTTCTTTTCCTTCTCCCATGGGTGCTGGCAAATATTTCTAGAGAAAGGATGATGACAACACAGGACAGCCCTCAGGTGACCAGTGGCAGACACAGCTTGTGGGAGAAATAAATATTTGGGGAGTCATTTGGTTACTGCAGCATGATATAGCTCATCTTTTAACTGATTCAGGGTCTGTACTGACACAGTGAGCCATTGATACAGTGGCTTCTATTCTGGCTTCTGTCTCTGTGTAGCTCAGGGCTCTGGAACAATGGTCGGTTTTCTGGGCTCCAAATGCAGTAATTCTTTAGCTTTCAAGTGCTTGGCACATAGGGAGTTTTTTTTAAACCATATTGATATGTCTAGCACCTGACACATAGTAGGCTGTGTTTCAGTTGATGTTTGCGAGCTGAAAAATTAGATGATAACTGAAATTCACTCTCACAGGGCACTGCTATGGTGAATACAACTGGCTTCTTTATGACTCATTATGTATGTCGGGGCATAAACCGTGTGAACAATAAAGGCTGCTCAACATCTCCAGTGAATTTGCATCCCAGTACTGAACATGCAGATTAACTGTGGTCACTTCTTTAGCCAAACTACAGAAATTAATGTGGGTTTTGGTATCTCCCATGTAGGGCTTTGGTAGTAGTAGGTTTGTTTTGTTATTACTTCTGCATTTGGAATACGCTGTGTATTTACTGAGCACTCCAGGCTCATTACAATGGAGTCCGTGATTACACTTTAATTCTAGGATGTATCAGTAAAGTTCCAAGGAGAAAGAGAGGCTCTATTCTTCATCTGGAAGAGCAATGGAAGGAAAATAAGCTGGAGTTTGTGAAGTGCCTACACTATTAATGCATTATCTAATTTAATCCTCATAACAATCCTGAAAGATAGATACTATTATCTTGATTTTTTCTGATGGGGAAGCTATGGCTCAGAGAGGTCAAATGCTTTTCTCAGGGATACACAGCTAGTAAGTAGTAGAACTGGGATTTGAAATAATTCTTTTTCCTAATTGTAAGATTTGTATATGCACTCAACCACATAGATCTCAACATAGTTGAGTATTTTATTTTACTTTATGTTTCAAGTTTTATTTAAATTCTAGTTAGTTAACATACAGTGTAATATTGGTTTCAGGAGTAGAATTCAGTGATTGTTCACTTACATACAACACCAAGTGCTCCACTCCGCACAAGTGCCCTCCTTTATACCCATCCCCCATCTAGCCCATCCCCCCACCCACCTCCCTCCAGCAACCCTCAGTTTGTGCTCTGTAGGTTAGAGTCTGTTTTCTGGTTTGCCTCCCTCTTGTAGTTGAGTATTTCAAATAACAATTTTGTAGTTTTTCTGTATGTAATACCTAATTATCCTTGGTTTATCATTTGAGACAGAGTAATGTTAAATTATCTTAAAAATCATTCCATTTTTTTTTTGTATGAGGTCATTTCCTTTAACTTGGCATATTATAGGTCATCATTCCCCAAAGTCTCTGCCTTGGAACACTTAACTCTGAAAAAAGTTTTACAATGACTTTACAAATAAGTTTGGAAAATGCTTGGTTAACCAAATTCAAAATGTCTCTTTATTAGAGTCTTTAATATTGTAATGCCAATTTTACATTTCCAGGAAAGGGATATATAATGCAACATTTTCCAAACTTACTGACCAGAGACCCTTTTTCAGCTGAGCATCTTAAAAATCAAAAAACACTTCAGGTACTGTTTAAGTGTCCAGAGGACATTTAAATATAAAAAATATTTTTCCTTTTTGGGAAGTTCTACTTATGCCTTACTTAAATTTTTCCTGACATTGTGTGCATATTTACATCCCTGTGGGGGAATAGCATATACATTGATAAAAGTTGAGTGGAAACTATTGAAATAATTGGGCTGTCTAGATAACTGTTTCTCCCCCCCCCCTTTTTTTTAAAGATTTTATTTATTTATTTGACAGATGGAGAGACAGCGAGAGCAGGAACACAAGCAGGGGGAGTGGGAGAGGGAGAAGCAGGCTTCCTGCTGAGCAGGGAGCCCGATGTGGGGCTTGATCCCAGGACTCTGGGATCATGACCTGAGCCGAAGGCAGACGCCTAACGACTGAGCCACCCAGGTGCCCCTAGATAATTGTTTCTTGATTATTAGATAGTAATCTAATAGTAATGGGGAGAGCATCTAAATCCTCAGATAATATGAAAAGCCCTCATTCTCCTGAGTAGTTTTAGTTTTCCCCCTCTGGCAAAGACCAAACACGAAGTGGCTTATGAATTGCAAGGAATCATCTACTCAGTTGCTTTATTACCTTTCTCTGCCATATAAGAACCAATGGGCAGGGAAATGATGGAGAGGCAGTGGAGAGAAAGGAGCCTAGATAATGCCTGGCCTGCTTAAATGAGCCCTGATAACAGAGAACTGAGTATACTTTGGTCGGTGTGGAATTGTTAAGGCCATGGTATGGGTAAAGTTTCCCTACAGATCTGGGAATGAAACCCACTTGGGTTTCCTTCTCAGCTTCTACCATGCACATTTATATTTTCTAATGAACTACTCATTAAAAGAATATGATTTTCTTGCAAACACTTGTCCTCATTTTTAGCTATGGCCAGCACTTCTGAAGAGCTCTGTTGTTAGAGCTATACAGTAGGGGCCAACTGTTCGCTAAGACCAAGTATGATTTTTTATGTCTAATTCAAACTCAGCTAGTGTCTCTTAGTTTCAACCGTGATTTCTTACCTAGCCGGCCCAGCAGCGCCCTGAATCTAGAGAGTGTAATGCAGTTGGGATCTGATGGGTGAAGGAGCATGGAAAATGAAAACTTTATGGAGGCTTTAATTCTCCAAATAAAACTAAGTGCCTGTTCCACGAATCATTACACAGGTCAGAAACCTGACCCTGTCCCATTTGAAGAGCCCAGATAGAAGAGAAGTTTTTAAAAGCCTCTCAGATTCTCTGGGTATAGTTGGCTAGGTCTAGGGATGTGTGTGCTCTCCTTTCTCCTAAGCAGTAGTACAGGGGAAGATTAAAATTCAGGGTGAGATCAACATCTAGTGCCCAGTCCCGATGTTCAGGGCGGGACACAAAAATGAGGTGTAGCAGGAAGACTGCACTTAGAGACAGAAAACCTAGGTCAAAATCCTGAATCTGTATTTTCCTGGCATTGTGATCTTGGTCAAGTCACTTAGCCTTAGTGGTTATTGCCAAAATGAGGATGAAAAAGAGACAGTGGATGTGAAATTGCATTGCCATCTTTATTGCAAATATACATGAAGATTTCTTGTTGCTGTTAAAATTGGCTAAACTTCCTCAGGGATGCTCATGGAATTTTCCTTGGGGCTGAAAAGTTCGAGGGTGAATATCCCAAAGATCCAGCACACTGAGGAGTTTTGTGAAGGGACAATTCAAAGGGACGGGAACTAAGGGCAGCTCCTTTTTTCCTGAGCTTTTTTTTTTCAAACCGTTTGTGTGGGGAGTGGGTGAGAGAGAAAGAGAGCAAGGGAGTGAAGAGAGGGAAGTCTCTTCTGAAGGGTTAAAGCAAGATAGTGCTGTAAAGTGATTCCAGATGTACAAATATTAATATCTCTCTCTCTCTCTGATGAATGAGAAGGTATGACCCAGTTAGGAAACTGCTAACATTACCGGCGCCACCGAGACCTCAGTCAATGGCCCAGCGCAGATTTTGATCCTTACCCCGGCAGCTATAATGCTGATGAAGGGCTTGGACCTGCTGCAGCAGACCTTCCAAAACGTCACTCTGTCCCCTGTGTCTGGGCTCTCTGTCGTCATAGTCTTTCCAGTCTGTTGAACAAAAGAAACAAAAAGAATGAAATTTTAACATGGGCAGGCCTCTCCCCTGAGGCCTAGCCTCAGGAGCTGGGTTCTGCTCGCACCCCGTGGGTCTGGATCAGCACCCAGCACTTGCACAGCTTGGGGCTGCCGTTGTTCAGGGCCCTGTGCAAAACAGCAGTTGTGGTTGGCTTTTTGTGTTGGGCAGTTTTAGGGCAAGAGAAAGTGGTAACTGAAGGCCAAAAGAAAACAGGGACTCTGGGAGTTCAAATTTCCATCCCCCAGCTCCTTACCCCAGCATCCTGGGTCCTAATCAGCCTCCCCTGCCACCTCTCCATGCAGCACCCCAAATCGCAACTGGATTTCCACAGTAGGAAAGAAAGGGGTGGGAATGTGCAGACTAGATGAAATCCACAGTCCCAAAGCTTTTATTGTAGGTTTCACACTTTTGGCCAAATTGACATTTCTTTCCAAGGAAAGAGCCCATGTCAGATGCCAAGAAATGGAAATCTACATTTTGCTCTAATGAATGTCTGCTTTGGTTAGCTGGCACAGCAACCCCTGCACATACTCCGAGCCACCAACCACCCTGTCTGCTCAGTCTCTAAATATACAGTATTAGCTTACATGGCAAATTTAAATTGCAATACCCACTGAGATTTTTCTCCCCCTTTTATTTTCATTCCATTTGGCTATAATGATATCAAGAGTAATAACCCGTATGGGACTAATGTCAAGATGGTAATTCTGCTGTCTCCAACTCTGGGTTTTTTTTTTTCAGCAGGTCTGTCACTTCATAGTCCATCCCTTCTTCTATCTGCCCCCAACGCAGTTTTATTCTCTCAACCTCTTAAAAGCAATAACTTAAAGCACTTCTTGATTGAAATGCTTTCTTTAAAAATGCTACTCATTATTTTCTAGTAAAGCCGGTTAGTTCATGAGTGTATCTGAGGCTTAAATTCTAACTGAACCAGTTTCAAATTCCCCTCCCCCTGATTTATTTTAAAATATGGAGTGTCCCTTGTTCAGAAACTTAGGCAGATGTCCTGATGGTTAAAGTTAGGTTTTTTAAAAACATCACTCATTGGCCCATCCACGGCCTAACAGTCCAGCACAGTTAGAAAGAACACAGGTTCTGGAGTCAGATAAAGCTGGGTGTGAACTCCTGGCTCAGTTTCTGTAAGGCACTAAACTTAACACTGACAGGGCCTCTACTCTGTAATGGGAAAAATGAACATAGTATCTAGCTTGCAGGATTTTTTGTGAGAATGAAATGAGAGGTTTATTTGGTATCCAGCGCAATGCCTGTTACATGGCATGATGTAAATCATAACTTGAAAAAAGAAGGGAATTCCTTGATGAAGAGTGAACTCCCTGAATAGTGAGTATGGAAACATCGTTTCTAACCCTGTCAGGTGATTCCCTTTGAAGAAGGAGGCCTCAGAGATTTTTGAATCCTTCCTCCTTCCTACCCTCCCCTCCAGGTACCTGTCTCCATTTTACCTCTCAGAAGACTGAGGCCCAGAGAGAACCATTCCAGTTCTATGTTACTCAGCTTGTCTGGGACAGAGCCAGGACCATATTGTAGTGTCATGGCCCTCCATATAGTGCTCGTTTCCTTATACCGTGGACACGTTTTGTTTTGTTTTGTTTCTTTTGGGAAGGAGGGTCAGAGCTTGGTTGGAGTTTGTGTGGTGTGGCTTAGTTGTGGTCAACTCCGGAGACAGGGAATTGGCATAGGTGCCTTCTGTAGACTCTGTTCCTTGTGGGCAGAAACCGTGACTTAAATTTCTCTTTGCCTTAGGTTTCTTCTCCGTAAAGTGAGTTTTTGAATATTTTTAAAAGGTTGTTTGAAGTTTAAAAAAATAATGTAAGTAAAGCACATTCTGGGCACATCAGGGACACTCATTAAATGTTGGTGAGGCATTGTGAATAGAAGGATGGTGTTCAGGTAGCCTGGGCTAGGAAGGTTGCTTTTACTGGGAAATTTGGAAATGTCTGAGGAATCAAACTCCAAGTGATCCTCATTCTCATCTGTAGTGTCCCTGGTATTTGGGCACAGTGATCATAAATGCTGCTGTCATGGATTCCCAAAGGCCATTATTAGTTTGTTCCCTCAGTTGGGTGAATGCGTCTTTAGTGCTCATGATAAGAGGAGTAATATTTGCTTGGGTAAGACTTCTTCTGGGTGGTTGAGTTATTATGTGGCCTTGCACATGCTAATATATTCTAATGAGTGTTAATACTGCCATCAACGCAAGGGGAGATGAAATGGAGCTGGCTCTTTCAGCTGAGCCCTATTACATCAGAGGTGAGCTCAAGCTGATGACTTTATGATACATTTCAAAATTGCTAATGCTAAATTGCAGCCCAAGTGAGCACTGGACATGATGCCAAGGTTTTTGGAAAGAATGAGTTTTTCTCATAGATGTTTGGAAGGTTCTGTCGACTACATAAAATAGGAGACTTTAGGGATGAGGGAGAAAATTGAAAATATATTAAGAAATCAGGAACCTGACAGGAATAAACTTAGTGTGGTAGGAAAAGAGCAGATTGTGCCACATAATACAGTTCACTGTTCTGGTAATGAGACACTTCAATTGCAACACAATGCAGAGCTTACATTCAGGGGCGATATCAGGGCTTTCCTGATCGTAACTCAGACAAGCCTGTCTGGGTCCTTTTCTCTTATTATGTACCATACCATATAACATAAGTCTATAAAAACACATTAAGGCCTTTTGTAAAAATATAAAAAAAAAGGTTTTATAGCTTACTGGAACATATTACCAAATTTCCAATTACTCTGTCATGTTAGAATACATTGTCCTCTAGTAAGTATCTGAATACTGATATATGTTGCATCACAATGTCATACTCTGTTTATAAATAGAGCTGGAGTGTTTTTATATTAGTGATACGGCATGTCTGCAGCAACTATAATGACATGTTTGGATTTTAGTTCTTTGCCAGATACCGCTACTAGTCAAATGGGCCATGTTAGAAAGGTTGGCAGTTGCTCTGTTAATTAGCAAGTAATAAGTGACTCTTCCCAGTCCTAGAAGACTGTTCTTGTCATTCTGGAGAAAGCCCATTCAAATAGGCTGTGAGGGAGAGTGTCTGATTAGAATTTGAAGTTTATAGAATATCTGATGCTTATAAGTAATGCATCCATACGCAGATCAGAATTTGCATTTGGAGTGGGAAGTTTTCCCTTGTCCCACCTTCAGGTCAACTGACACTATCATTTTCTTTTTTTCTTTTCTGTCCCTTCTATCCTTCATCAATAATGTATACTCTTTTTTTCTCCCTAGAATGAGATGGTTTCCCTTAGTATCTTAATCTTGCAATATTATTAGTTTGTGTTTCTGATGTCTTTAATAAAAAAGATGTCCAAGTAAGACTGGAATAATTGAATCATCAAATGCCCATGGGACTCAGGGGCCTTAGAGATCTCTGGTGTCTGTGGTCCAGAGCCCGGTATCACCTGGTGTAGCTATGTGAATCCACCAGAAACGGCAGTCAGGAATGGTTGGCTGGCTGGCTCTTAGTCTGCTTGTCTGCCTGATAGCAGAGCACTAGTTCCCACAGCATAGGAGACATGGCATGGGCTTGATCAGTGTAGGCTTGAGTCCTGGCTCAGCCACATGCAACAGTTGTGACCTTGGGCAAGGCAACATCCTCTCTAAATCCCAATTTCTTTATTAATAGAGGAGGAGGACAGCATAGTGGTTAAGGACAAGGGCCATAGGATTTGGGCCTGACTTCAGTGCTTGCTGATTTTGTGATGTTGGGTTCTATGTGTGCAGGTGCCTCTGTGTGAATAGTTCCCTTACCAGTAAAATGGAACTACTAATAAAAACCACCCCAATGGGTCTGTTATGAAGATTAAATGAGTCGATCCACATAAAGTTCTTAGACTAATGCCCAGCATTATAATAAGTCTTATGTTGGCTCTGATGTTCAGAGTGATGCAGATGATGAAGATGACGGTGCTTATCCACAAGACAGGAACAGTGATGAGGGACTCGTGTGAGGATTCCGTGAGACACTGATGAAAGCCCATAACGTGCCACCTGATTCATGGTTGATCCTAGGTAAAGGGTTGTTATAAAACATGAAACATAAATATATACAAAAGAAAACTAAAGAGCCTACAATCTTATAACCCAAATATCCACGATCAAATGTTGACAGTTATGTGCAGATAGGCCTACCTAATAATAATCAAACTCACAGCTTAAATATGTGAAAAAAAATTCGCATTTTGTTTTTACATAAAACTTATAAAGTAAGAATTTCTTCCACACAGTGAATTTTTTTAAACACCATTTTAGTGGTTTTGTTCTATAATGTGGATATGTATATATCATACTTTATTTAACCACTGAATTAATATTGGATATTTGTTCTCCCTCTACATGGTGTTTCACTATATTGATACACTGCTGCAGTGTGCATATTTGTTCATAACTGTTTGTTCTGCCTTTGTTTCCTAGATAAATAATTATGGAGTAAAAAGAAATGACTGTTCTTATTATGGCAAATTGTGTCCCACAAAGATTGCACTCTTACAAGAAGCATATGATACCATTTTGAACTATCGCATTCATGAAGGTTTTTAAAAAAATGAAAACAAATTCAGAGCTCATTATGCAGAAAAATCTATCATATGGTATATCTAGAGATGTTTCTTCTGGTTAATTAAATTTTCTGGTTAATAGAGAGCTACCAAATATACCAGACATAAATTATTAATCTTCACATAATTAGAAGAGGCTTTTGCTGGGGTTTTCAGTCATCACTACAAATGTTATATATTATATTTGTAGCAGAGTGTAGCGGAGTGCCTGTTAGTAAGAAAGTGTTTTCTTCTGACAGAATGTCAGATAAATAAGATTTGCTATATCTCATTCCCTTATCAATTTGATGTGGGTGAGGGGGTGAGGAGGAGAGAGGAGAGCTAGAATGGGCCACTACTCCTGCTGTGTCATTCACAACATCCCCACAAAAGCCTTGGGAAAGGTAGGATTGGACTCATTCTACAGATTGAGAGAGTTATAAGGAACTTTTGAAGGACACGCAGCTAATAAAAGGTATCCTGGGTATCAAATTCAGTCTTGCTGGTTCCAAATTCCCTCTCTTTTCATTCCACTGAGTTGCCTCCCAGGGGAACATTTCTGCAGAGGAATCATTCATTATGTGGCCCAGATGCTATTCTGAGGAGGTCTTATTAGTCCCAAGCAGCGGGGAGAAGGAATGGCAATGGTATCCTGAGGATGGATGGAGGGGGAGGTTGGAGCCTGCGGCCAGGCTTGAGAGAGTTCACAGCCACCACCTACTAGAAGGCGAGGCACATGCCGGTACCGTGGTCTGAGCAGGTCCCCATCCTTTCATGTTATAAGCCGAGACTTGAACAAAATACTTTTGGCCCTGAAAAGTATCGAAACAGAGAGAATGTATGCATTAGGAATTGTACTGAATCACTTTTACTCTAGAAGCAGGTTCCTGTGTCTGATTAACTCATTGATCCATTGGGAAATCCACTAGCCATGCTTTAGCTTTCTAGCTTTTCTTATTACATTTATGTGTAGTAATACACATCTTTGGGGTGCCTTTAGTTTCTGTGAGCTTTCTTTTCAATTCAAAATTGGAATGTCATAATTACCTTTTTTCCTCTACCTGAGTTATACACTAATTATTAAAAGTCACAGTTCTGCAAGGTTTACCCAAATCAGCAATTTCTCACCTTTCTCCTTATTTTCCCCTCCCTGGAGGCAATCACCATCACTTTTATTAGCGGATCAACTTGCTTTTAAAATTAACAAGTTACAATGAACATTTTTTCAGTTTAGTACATCAAAGATCTGGTTCATTTTTTTTTTTTTAGTGGCTGCATAGTACTTCACTGTGGGCAAGTAACTGTCATTTATTTAACCAGTCTCCCCCACTGGTGAACATTAAGATTGTTTCCACATTTTACGCCACAATAAATAATGCTGTAATGAGGGGCGCCTGGGTGGCTGAGATGGTTGAGCGTCTGCCTTCGGCTCAGGTCATGATCCCGGGGTCCTGGGATTGAGTCCCGCATCGGGCTCCTGGCTCAGCGGGAAGCCTGCTTCTCCCTCTCCCTCTGCCTCTCCCCCTGCTCATGCTCTCTCTCTCTGTATCTCTGTGTCTCAAATGAATAAATTTAAAAAAAATCTTTAAAATAAAAAAAAAACGCTGGGCGCCTGGGTGGCTCAGTTGGTTAAGCGACTGCCTTCGGCTCAGGTCATGATCCTGGAGTCCCGGGATCAAGTCCCACATCGGGCTCCCTGCTCGGCGGGGAGTCTGCTTCTCCCTTTGACCCTCTTCCCTCTCGTGCTATCTCTCATTCTCTCTCTTTCAAATAAATAAATAAAATCTTTAAAAAAAAAATAAAATAAAATAAAAAAAAATGCTGCAATGAGTATCTCTGCTCAGCTATTAAAACTTTTACATTAATTCTTTGATTTCACTTCAATTTTAAAACCATCTTTAAAACAATGGCTTATATTCTTTAATGTCTTCTGACACTAAAAATTTAGGAGTTGTTTTTGTTTACGTATACTCTTTTCAAATGTTCTGTATAGTTTTCTATTTTTGCTTTGCTTTGAAAAGTTATTTTTTTCCCCCAGTGAACCCAAAGAGGCATTTTTGAAGCCAGAATTTGATAAAACATTGCTTGTGAAAATTGTAAAATAGCGTTTGAAGTAAAAAACAAAACAAAAACAAAAAACAAAAAAAAAAACACCGCATCTTTGTAGGGCCTTTACTAGAAATTTTAATAATGTTGGCCTTACCATATTATAAAGTTAATTTTTTTTAACATTAAAAATAGGTTTCTAGGTACTTCAAGGTTATGGCGATTCTGCAGAAGGGTCAGTCTCCTTCTAGGCTTTTATGTGATTAGGATAGTGTCTGAATTGCTCTCATTAGACGACCAAGTGGAAAAACTTAATCCCTATAAAAATTAGTTCAAATATTAGAGAAATTCTCTGTGGAGAGTTTTCCATTTTTATCACGTGATATCACTTTTTCTTTTAAGCAAAGGAAATTCCCTGGGGTTCTCTTCTGGCCCTCTTCCATCATGTGAGCTATAGGGTTGGGAATCAGTCTTCTGCGATAGCATCTCTGGGGGCCACCCACTCGGGTTTGTTTGCTCTGGTAATCCACAGTTTTGGCCCCGGTATAGACGTGTGATTAGGACTAAAAGTCAAGATTCTGTGGTGGTGACCCAACCACCAAGAATTCTATTAGAATAAGCTGGTTCAAACTTGAAGAGATGCAACCAAATGCAGCTTTTTAATGCTGGGTTTCAGGTTTACACTTCATAGATAACTGTTTTAACGGACTAATCTTTTAGGAGAATGGCAACAAAAACAAAATTCTCCCTCTCTCTCTTGCATAAAAAGGTCTAAGATATTAATGATTTGAATTGGAGCAAAAAAATAACAGGTTTGACTTAAGTATACTTAAAAAATTTTTCATTAAAAATGATTTTGATGATTGTTTTGTTGCATTTTAATTATTTGAGGCGATACAGGGTTTGTTCCAGTATGAACTGATTTGCTAGCTGTTTTTATTTTTTGCATTTCATATGCTCATATGGCTTAGAGTTCTATAAATAATTAATGTTTGAGTTTAGATTGGTTAAACAAATAAGCACAGTTTGTTCCAGTTTTTCATTCACAGTTTAAATTGGTTCAGGTTACTGAGAAATGTAGTGCCACCATATATAGTTTCTTTTCTGTGAAAGCAGATTTAGACAGATTTTTTTTTTTTTTTTAATCAAGGGAAAAGGATTTCTCTCAGGAAATTGTATGACTCCAGTAGATGACTGATCTCAACCGAGGCTATGGGGGTGAGGGTAGAGGAGGCTGTTATTTTTACCATCAGACAGGGAGTCAGAATTGGATCTCTCAGAGCCTTTGATCCCCCCTGCAGATTAGACTGTGATCCAGAAAGCAGCAGCTTTCAAGGCTTGCTTGAGGCCAGTCTTTTTCTGATCTCTGTAGAACATGGCAGCTTACAAAGTGGTTCATGCTGTCTGCTCACTCCTTTGTGGGGTTCAGATTATGGATACCAGACATATCACACTTAACGAGTGGCAGTTGTTGCCAGAGGACTGGGTGTTGGCAGTTGCTTCCAGAGTAGGCATTTGCTACCCAAATTCCCAGTACAAACATCAGGGGCAGGGGAATGGGAAGCCTAATGGGAGGATTTGGCATTTACCGTTGTAAGTCCTGTGATTGTGCATCTCAGGGTCTGCAGGTTTTCCATGATGATTTCTCCAACCAAAGGACAAAAGTCTTTAGACATACTCCATTCCACTGCAAGGAGAGAAAGAAGGAGCACAAAATTTACTTATATATCAAGAAGCATCACAGAAACTCTAGCGAAAGTGTCTCTCAAAAACGGTAAGTTTACCCTCCTTTCCCTGTATTGGCACATCTCACAGTCTTCCTTAGGATAACAAGTCAGTTTCTAAGTTCACGATTATTTTTTAAAACTAGAGAGGAAAATAAGTAATCACTGAACAGTGATTAATATCCCTTAGATATACATATGTGTATGTATCTGTGTACTTATGGATATAGACACACACATGCTCAGGCACATTATATGTAACAGTTCATTGTATGTAGAAGGTAAGTTATTAATTGCATGGTTCTCATGAAGGGTACACTAGGACATTCCATTCTGTTAGCTGCCCAGGTCTGGTTTGGGCTTCACCATGCTACTGAAAGTGCTATTTCAAGGTCCCAGGGACGTTCTCTTTCCAAATAAAGAAGCTTCCTTTCACTTCTTTCAGTGTCATTGGACACCTTCTTCTTTTGGAAGCATTCTCTTCTTGTAGTGTCCCACATGCTGCCCCCCAGGCTCTCCTCCTCCTCCTCCCTGGTCTTGTCTTCCAAGCTTTTTATTCGCTTCTCTTCAGCCTGAGGATTTGGGGTTTGTGTCAGTGCCTCCCCCCACACCTGACATCCCTGAAGTTGAGTGTTTATTCACAGTTCAACCTAACACCCAAATTCTAACGCCCCATTTTACTGTGAGGCCATGTTCTTTCATAACATTTTCCCTTGGTTGAAAAAACTGTGGTCAGGAAAGATAAATTGCGCCTCATCAGTATGAAGTGTCTTTTTTTTTTTTTTAAAGATTTTATTTATTTATTTGAGAGAGAGAGAATGAGAGATAGCACGAGAGGGAAGAGGGTCAGAGGGAGAAGCAGACTCCCTGCTGAGCAGGGAGCCCGATGTGGGACTCGATCCTGGGACTCCAGGATCATGACCTGAGCCGAAGGCAGTCGCTTAACCAACTGAGCCACCCAGGCGCCCAGTATGAAGTGTCTTAAGTGACAGTTTACCCGAGGCAGAGTTTAGGGCAATCTGATTGAAGCAGGAGCTTAAGGCACATAGAAGACAAGGCCTGCACATCTAACCCTCATGATGACAAGCTATAGGTTTTAAGTTACGTTCCCTATGACACTTCAGTACTTCAGAATTAAGCCGAACCATCACTGAGGCCTGCTGCTTCTCTTGAGTCACACAATCCCTCTGATGTGGGTGCTGCCCCTCGGCACCTCCTCTGTATGTTCCTAGGAATCTAGCTTGTTCTCCTCATTCTATAGAAATTGCTTTCCTAAAGTTCCTGGTGCTCCGATTGTCTGCAACAGCCTCTTCCTGGGAAAGTCAGCCACTGGCCTCCCTGATGTTTTGCAGCCTTCTTTCCCCTCAGTTTTGGTTGCACCCTTTCTTCCTATCTCCTGACCCCTTTTTCTGGGCTCTCCCTGGTTCCTCCAAAATTTCCTTCTCCCTTTGCTGTGATGTTCCTTGGGGGTTTGGTTTTGGCTCTTTTCTCGCTTCACATGCTTGTCCCAGGCAGTGACCTTATTCACTCTTATGGCGCCGATGGCTCTCAAAACTGTAATTCTAGGTCCAGCCTCTCTCAGGACTGACTTCCTCCTGCAGATCTCCACGTGAGTGCCCGCTAGTACCTTCTCTTTGCCAAAATAGGTGTCTCCTCTTGTTTTTTCAGTTTCAGCTCATGGCATTGCCATGTACTTAATCACCCAACCCCAAATCTCAGAGCATCCTTGCCTCCTCTTTTTCCCCAATTCTTCATGATCAGTTGATCACTAAACCCAGTAGGTTCTGCTTTAAAATCTCTCCCATAAGTTTCTCTCCCCCTCACACTGAACTTATTCTAGAGCAGGACTTTATAATCATGTGCATCCATCTGCAATTGATTTTTTTTTTTTTTTTTGCAAGGAGGTGTAGGCTTGATTGAGTAACTGATCAACTCTCCTAATTGATTTTTCTGTTCATCTTCTTAACCTTATACACAATCTGCTCTTAATACAGCCCGAGTTATATTGAAAAAATGTAGATCTCATTATTTCATTTCTCTGCTTAAAATCTTTTCATAGTGTCCAGTTGCTTTCAAAATAAAATGAAATGTTGGGGCACCTGGGTGGCTCAGTGGGTTAAGCATCTGCCTCTGGCTCAGGTCGTGATCTCAGGGTCCTGATATCAAGCCCTGCGTCAGGCTCCCTGCTCAGCAAGGAGTCTGTGCCTCTCTCTCTCCCTTTGCCCCTCCCACATGCTCATTCTCTCTCTCTTTCTCAAATAAAATAAATAAATACCTTTAAAAAATTAAAAAACCCAAAATAAAATGAAAGGTTAACAAGGCATTCAAGGGCCTTCATAATCTGGTCCCAGCCTTACTCTACTATCCTCATCTCCTACCATGTCTCACAGCAAAGTCCTTGCTCTGTAAGTCCCTGTTACCTGGTTATTCTGTGTACTTTTCTGCCTCTGTGTCTTTTGCTGATCTTCCAACTGCTGCTTGTGAAACTCTACTAATCCATTAAGATCTAGCAAAGTTAACTCTGAATTCCTCAGGAATAATTAAATGCACCTGTTTCTGTGCTCCCAAAGCCCTTCATTCATATGAAAATAAGATTTATTACACACATATTATGCTTTATTGTATGTATCTCTTTCTCTTGTTAGATTGTGACAAATTTGAGAATAGGCGAAATACTGTTCCCTTCTTCTCTAGTACATGGATTTGTGTGCTTGGTGCATAGAATGTGCTTCCTAAATATTTTATATACAATTTGATTATACGCATGGATACACACACACACACACACACACGCCCAGAGTACACTGGTTTTTCCAACAAGGAGAGATATTTTTCTTCCTGTGAATCTTCTTCTCCAGTCCCTTGCCCTTTGAAGCTCTCAGGCATGTCGTAAAATCTAATTAGAATCAAATGATTAAGATTATATGTTAAATCTCAAATTAGGCCTACACTTCCTTACAAATATATATTCTGAAAGACTTAATATATATATTATATATGTATCTATGTATGCATTTTTCCAAAATATTTTATTATGCTTATGAGCTGCTAGCTCTGAAGAAGCCACAACTCTGAAAGTCAACTTGGACTTAATTTGCATATATCTAGCTAAAGAAAAAAAAGGAAATCATTGAAGACATTATCACAAACAAAACAAAATGAAAATCAGTAGCAAATCTGCAGGTATATCTAGAAAAAGCAAGGAATACAGGAAAATTCTGGAAACAGAAATATCCCTGGTTGCCACTGAGACATGCATCGTTGACTGATGTGGAGGAGCTCCAAGCGGAAGGGTGAGAGTCAAGGTTTTCTGATTCCAGGCTAAGGATTCACGGCTGACTTCCTAAAAGAAGAGCTAGGGATTCATGGGAATACCTCCAAGGGATTAATGACAAGTTCCTCGAAAATACAGTCTTTAAAATTTAAAAGAAATGATTTATTTTTGAGTAACAACAGTTCATGTTCTATTGAAATATGTTTTTACAAAACATGTTTCAGGTGGAAAAGAGGACCTGTCTTCTTGAAAAACAAAAAAAACAAACACAATAGCTTTGTAAGGAGATACAGTTCTGCTTTGGAAGTTAATAGAAAGTTTTAAGCATTTAGTCTAATTAGATCTCATAACATGAAAGAAGATTCACATGGAAGGAAAAAAATCCTCCTTGTTGGAATGGACAATCTGTTCTGGGGCAACCAGCAATCTTTTTCTTCTATGTACTTCATTGGGTTGGTGGACTCTTTCGACACGAAGAAAGGAGCTTCTGGTCATTTAAAAAATGAGGGAGGGAAACAGAGTGAGCAGGAATCACTTTGAGAGCCTACTGGGAATTCTAAGAAGGCAACTTAGCATGGTGTCTCTGGAAAGTTATGTGTAGGTAGTTTAAAGACTTAATATTAAAGCCATGAGAAAATCACTTATAAGCCTACTCTAAATCCCTGAAGGACTGGAGCCATGTATATGAAGTTTAAAACTGTATAAGACTTATAATTTTAAGATAAAGATCAGGGCAACTGTTTCTACTTAGGTCTGGGAAATCGAAGCAGGGTTTAATCATGCAATGGCTCATAGCAGTTGAACATTAGCAAGAAAGGTACCAGACAAAACCTAGGTGTTAGTATTTCTTAAAATTTGGCTCTGGCTCAAGCTGTGATTCACTATATTTATATCAAATAACTATGAATATTTTAAATATGACGCTTTATTATTTTAACAAATATTTCATTTTTATCTAAGCTTTAGCAAGTAGAGTCATTTGGGAAGGAAAATTCTAGCTGACCACCTCTATTTACTGGATGGTAGCTATAAAAACCACATGCTGAAAGCTTAGGAAGAAGAAGAGCTCCTGAAGGTCTAGCCTTGTCACCTGAAGTCTATAAGGTAAAGAGAAAAGTCACAGAATCAGTGCAAGAGTAGAAAATTCAGGACTGAAGTGTTAGGATGCATAAGCAGGACAAAGCCTACAGTGCGGGTACATTTCCAGCCTCATGGTGTGAGCTCTGTGAATAATATGCCCTGCTTTGGCCAGTAACTCTCTTAAATTTTCAGGCTAGTTTCTTGAACGGTAAAGACCCTGCAGAAATAAAGGCATAAAGAGATAACATTACAGGGGCGCCTGGGTGGCTCAGTCAGTTAAGCGTCCGACTCTTGATTTCAGCTCAGGTCATGATCTCAGGGTCCTGGGATCGAGCCCCGTGTCGGGCTCCCGTGCTGAACATGGAGCCTGCTTAAGATTCTCTCTCTCCCTTTCTCTCTGCCCCTCCCCACTCATGCGCTCTCTCTTTAAATAAATAAAATCCTTAAAAAAGATAACATTGCATCAGTGTCTAATTAATTTCTACTTAATTGATAAAAAACATCGAAAACCTGCTGTTATCCAGGTTCTCCTTCAAAGCCCAGATCTGCTTTATCCTGTGCACATGTCAGGAGAAGCATACTCTAAGAGGTATACTCTTGCTTCTTGCC